ATGTGGCGCAAAATAATATATTATATTATATATCACTGTTTCACTGTCATCCCATTGTTTGTCGATTTACTCGAGTAGGAGCCGGTAACATCTCCATTCGTCTCAGCCCTGAGATGTTAGTAGCATCTTCTTACTTGCCTTTCCCAATGACTAGAGGCTCTTTCAGGGTCAGGGGAATGAGACTTGTTATAGTTACTGTTTTTGGCATATCGAATATGCCACGGGAAGCTTGCCAGACTCTGCCCATGTAGGCGGGGTACTCTTGGTAGCTTGCCAGGCTTTCTGAGAGGCATATATATATATATATATATATATATATATATATATATAGTGTGGTAATTATGGAAAATGGGTAGGAAGCATCTTTTTTTTTATTTTATTGAATCACTGTGAGAAAGTTACAAGCTTTCATGTTTGGGTTACAATCACACAATGATCAAACACCTATCGCTCCACCAGTGTACATTCCCCATCACCAATCTCCCCAGTATACCCCCTTCTCCATCCTCCCCCTGCCTACATGGCAGACAATATTCCCCATACTCTCTACTTTTGGGCATTATGGTTTGCAATACAGTGAGAGGTCACCATGTTTGGTACATTATCTACTTTCAGCACACACCTCCCATCCCGACTGATTCCTCCAGCCATCATTTTCTTAGTGATCCCTTTTCTATTCCAGCTGCCTTTGCAGCTCTATGTTAGGAACTAGCTTAGTGCGGGTCTTCTCAGTCTTGCAGCCTGGAAAGGTCCCCTGGGTCAGCCGGGAAGTGTCTAATGATGTGTCCAGGAATATGTTCACTCATATGTGAGGCTCGGTCTGATTGTAAAGTGGCCTGGAGCATGGCAGCGGTTGGGAAGTGGAGGTCGGCTGCCAGGGCTGGGTTTCTTGGGGCAGGGAAGGCTCTTACCCACCCCCCTTTAGGGCTCCCCTGGTGAAAACAGCCTCACAAGGAGTTCCATATATTATATGGTATATAATATATAATATATATAATATAAAATACATATACGATACTATATAATGCATATATGTATATATAATTTCATTATGTGATATATACCAAATAGCTGTCACTGTCACTGTCCTCCCGTTGTTCATCGATTTGCTCAAGCGGGCCCAATAACGTCTCCATTGGAGACTTTGTTGTTACTGTGTTTTGGCATATCAAACACATCACGGGTAGCTTGCCGGGCTCTCCGAGAGGGGCGGAGGAATCGAACTCGGGTCAGCCATGTTGGCTGCGTGCAAGGCAAATGCCCTACTGCTGTGCTATCGCTCCAGCCCTATATACCAAATAGCAAATAAATAAAATACTTCCTACTACTATCTAGATATTTATCCACACATCTTTTATCCTCCCACTGAATCTCCTCAGTAAAGAAACGTCACTGTCAATCCCTATAAGGATACCCATTACATTCTTCAAAGAAATGGAGCAAACACTCTTGAAATTTATATGGAACAATAAGCCCCCACGAATAGCTAAAGCAATTCTTGGGAAAAAGAAAATGGGAGGAATCAACCTCCCGAACTTCAAACTGTACTACAAAGCAGTAATAATTAAAACAGCATGGTACTGGAACAAAGGCAGAACTGCAGACCAATGGAACAGGGTTGAATACACTGACATCTCTCCTCAATCATATGCTCATCTAATCTTTGATAAAGGTGCAAGTAATGTGAAGTGGAGTAAGGAAAGCCTCTTTAATAAATTGTGCTGGCATCACTGGACGGCTACATGCAAAAAAATAGGCTCAGAACTCTGCCTAACACCATGTACAAAAGTAAGATCAAAATGGATTAAAGACCTCAACATCAGACCAGAAACCATAAGGTACATTGAAGATAAAGTTGGCAAAACCCTCCATGACATTGAAGCTAATGGTATCTTCAAAGATGCCACACCACTGGCCGAGCAAGTGAAAACAGAGATAGATAAATGGGACTATCTTAAACTAAGAAGCTTCTGCACCTCCAAAGAAACAGTGACCAAAATACAAAGACAGTCTACAGAATGGGAAAGGATATTCACCGAATACACATCTGACAAGGGGTTGATATCCAGGATATACAAAATACTGGTTAAACTCCACAAGAAGAAAACATCCAACCCCATCCAAAAATGGGGCAATGAAATGAACAGAAACTTTCTCAAAGAAGAAATCCGAATGGCAAAAAAGCACATGAGAAAATGCTCTACATCATTAATCATCAGGGAGATGCAGATCAAAACCACAATGAGATACCATCTCACACCTCAGAGACTGGCCCACATTCAAAAGAACAAAAGCAACCGATGCTGGCGTGGATGTGGCGAGAAAGGGACACTCCTTCACTGTTGGTGGGAATGTCCACTGGTTCAGCCCTTCTGGAAAACAGTATGGACGATTCTCAAAAAATTAGAAATTGAGCTCCCATTTGACCCAGCAATACCACTCCTGGGAATATATCCCAGAGAGGCAAAAATGTATAGTCGAAGTGACATCTGCACTTGTTTGTTCATTGCAGCACTCTTTACAATAGCCAGAAACTGGAAGAAACCTGAATGCCCAAGAACAGATGACTGGTTAAAGAAACTTTGGTACATCTACACAATGGAGTACTATGTAGCTCTTAGAAAAGATGAAGTCATGAAATTTACATACAAGTGGTACAATATGGAAAGTATCATGCTAAGCGAAATGAGTCAGAAAGAGAGGGATAGACATAGAAAGATTGCATTCATCTGGGGGATATAAAGTAACAAAGTATGAGATTAATACCCAAGAATAGCTGAGATCAGCACCAGGAGGATTACTCCATAACTTAGAGGCCAGCCGGGTATCCTAGAGGAAAGGGCTGTTCAGATAGAGAAGGGAGCACCAAATAAAGGATGTTTGGAGGATCCTCCCAGGAGGGGAGATGCATGTCGAAAGTAGACTATGGACTGAACATGTTTGCCACTCAATGCCTCTTTTGCAGACCACAACACCCAAAAAGAGAGAGAGAACACAGGGGATTGCCCTGCCACAGAGACAGGGGGGATGGGGGGATGGGGGTGGGAGGGATATTATCCATGGTGGTGGAAAATGGGCACTGGTGGAGGGATGGGTATCTGATCATTGTATAATTGAAACCAAAGCACAAAAAATTGTAAATCTACAACTTTAAAAAAATAAAATAAAGGGGAAAAAAAAAAGAAACGTCACTGTACAACACCTCATGTGCAAATCTTTTCTTACTTCCTCCAAGTATGACATCTGAACCACCAGTGTTTCCTAATCACAATCCTCTATAACTGTTCTCAACTCAATAACTGTTCTCAACTCAGTTACACTATGTGCTACAATAAATCCTGGTGAATGTTCCATCTTTACCTAGTAGTTTCTCAGTTAGAGCAAGTATGAGATCAATACATGAATCCAATATGTAGTCACACAATAAACCATAGAGGGAAATATATATATACATGTATATATACATATACGCCTATATACATATTTTCTGTCCCTCTTGGAGAGCCTGGCAAGCTACCAAGAGTATACTGCCCTCACAGCAGAGCATGGCAAGCTACCCGTTGCATATTCAATATGCGAAAAACAGTAACAATAACAAGTCTCATTCCCCTGACCCTGAAAGAGCCTCCAACACAGCAGAGTTGGGAAGGACGAGAGGAGAAGCTGTTAAATATCAGGGCTGGGACGAATGGAGACATTACTGGTGCCCGCTCGAGCAAATCGATGAAGAGGATGACAGTGCTACAGTAGTCACACTAGAAGTCTGTCCTAAGTTTTGAAGTGTTCTTTTCCTTCTGACCATCACTTATGCATCTACATCCTCAGTCTTGGTTCTTCTACTCTCAAGGTGCCTCCCTGCCCTTGTAAGATCATCTGCTTCTAGGGTATCAATTACATTCTAATACTGTTGAATCCCAGTGTGGATTTATAAAGGTCGCACCTGAGATACTGAACATAAGATGTGAATTTCCTATCAAGTTGTCATTTCTGCTTAGCTGTCTCACAGGTATCTTTAAAGAATATACCCAAACTTTAATTGGTCACCTTTCTTCTACACTGAGGCTTTCAACTATTTGCTGCAGGCTTGAATGGATGCATCCTATTTTAACTTATGCACCACCATCTGCCTATTTGCCCAATCATAAATCTAAGAAAATTCTGACTCATCCTTTGCTTTGTTTTGGGAGTCACACCCGGTGGTGCTCAGGGGGTACTCCTGGCTCTGCACGCAGAAATTACTCCTGGAGGATTCGGAACCATACGGATTACTGGGGATAGAACCTGTGTTAGCTGCGTGCAAGGCAAGCACCCTACTCTGACCTTTTGTATTCATCTTTTGTATTCATCCTCTCCTTAACCCTCACATGGCAATGTGTGAATAAACATAATAAACATGAGCAATCATTTTGGATAGTTAAGTCATTCAGCATTAGGCCCAAGTCTGTGTTATGCAATCTTCCCAGTATTGCAATAGTTCCTCTATCGTTAAACATATTAGTGTTCCTTATTCAATTTTTTTTCCAATGGGATGATAAAGTTCAAGGAGACTGTTTATGTGCATTTCTTTGATTTTCCCATATTTTAAAAATTATTACATTTAGGTAACATGGTTAAAACGATGCTTCTGAAACATTTTTACTATGTTATCTGCAATATTCTGATATCTAGTGAATATTTGTTGATTGAATTAATGTATGGAAGTCAGAAACAATTACTACCTGTTAAGGAAGTTTGAGCAGATAGCTGAAATTAATGTCCTTTAAGCTTCTAAAATTTAACAATGTTTTGCTTTAATATAGAAACACACAGATTGTTATCTTTTCTCAGATGTCATTTATGAAAATGTTTCCTTGTTATTAAAATAAGAATGCAAATTGTTTTTGCAGTGCCAGAGATTAAACTTTAGAGCTCATATATACGAGGAAAGTGTTCTGCTCTCAAGCTACATCCCTGGGTTTCCTTTATTAAAATTTAACATAAAAATAAAAATTTGTATTTACCTTTGCCATAATATCTGCATAGGCCATATATAAAAAATCTTCGTCCAGTTTGCTATGAAAAATAAGAAAGCAGTGAATTAGTTTTTAAGTAGAAGGCATCACCATATAAAATATTTTTTTCGACAAAGATGCCTCTTCAAAAATAAAAAACAAAACTATATGAATTTTCAAATATATAATCAAGAAGCAAGTGTCTTAGACCTGAGATTATTGTTCTTCTTTAGCTTACAGAAAAGTCTGAAGCAATACAAAATATATAATCTATCACTTTAAATACCAATATGATCACTTTACTTTTTATTATGACCACAAAAGTTAGAACAAGAAAATACGAGTTTTCAAATATTTGATGGAGGACTTCCAAAATTATTATGTTATTATATTTTTTAAAATATGCTGGTCACAAAAATCATTCTCAAAAATTAAGAAAGCCTAACATGATTATCCTCCTCTTACAAAGTCCAAAACCATTGATTTACAAAGAAAGTTTTCTATCAAAAAATACCTGATTTTTCCAGTTACTTTAGCAATTTTAAACCAGCCACCAAAAATATTCACTCATGAGAAATACCTCATTACCTGCCAATGCCAGACAGAGAGTTGCTCTACGCTTAGGGATGAGATGATTTTGTTAGTTAGGAAATAACAAGAGAGAGATATAGTGAGAGAAGGATGGATCACATTAGCTAAGAGAGAGAAATGCACATTATTATGGCATGCATAGAGATCAAATGATCTTTTCAAGACTGACAGGACCCTTGTGGATATGAGTTGATAATTAAATTATCTCCCAGTCTCCTAAAAGATGGGTGGTAAAGTCTGGGGAAAAGTAGGCTTTATTCACATAGCAGGGAAGCAGATAAATCTTTGGTAACTCTTGAATTGTTCTGTCTACAGAGTCAACCTATGTAGCACCCCCTGTAATGAGCAAATCCTAAGCAGGGTTGTGATTATCAGGTCTACCAGTGCATTACTTATTTAATCCATAGAGGTGAATCCTCTTTGACTTTACTGAATTAATATGTACAAGTCTATAGAAGATAGGAAAAAATGAAGAATTCCCTTAAAATAAATCTCAAACAAAATGCAATTGAGATGATGGCTTACCCACCTCCTAAAGGTTTTCTAAGACCCTCTGCACGATGGAGAAACTGTCTAGCCAGGACATTTTTGGTCAGCTTTGTTCTCCATGCATTTTTGATACTTGAAATTATTTTGGGGTCTTTCATTATAAGGACTGTTTGCAATAAAGAGAAATTTCATTGAAGAGGACTAAGAATCAACTAAATCAGCTAATAAGAAAAACTGGACTCAGAGGTAGATATTACAACGTGAGTTGAATGGATGTTGTCGGCAGGTGTATGTCAGACTAGTCAGACCTTTGAACAACTCTCTCCACTAACAAGAATAAGATTGAAACACATATATAAAACACACACAGAATACTCAGACATGTTTTTCTAACAATAGCTGTTCTTCCTGTATCTCATAGGAACCTTCCCGTACCATTTCTCCGTTAAAGCTGTTCGACTGAACAGAAGGATCAGCTGATGAAGAGGATCAACTCTTCTGTTGCCTTCCTCTTCTTCAGAAGGCTCCACTCCAGGTTTCTGAAAAAAATTGACGTTTATAAAATTTCACACTTTTATATAAAATGCTTACAGATTTCTTGAAGAAATGTGAAAGTTAGGAACAACAAATAAAATGAAGCCCTTCTCTTCTTGCTGTAACATGTACGTTTTACATGTATTATTCATCCACATCTGCCTGTGTATTGGATGTGTAGTACATCATCAATGTAAAACTGCAGCTTTTTAGAAAGAGTTAATAATTTGACAGAAATATAGGCAAGGAAAATTTGTATCACTTATAAATTTTGAAACTGTTCTTGAAAGAAGATTCATAAATTAACTGCCCACTTACTTGCTATGTAGATTTCAAATTAAGGGAAGAATCAATTTATGAGGATTTGTAATGTAATTTTGTAGATTCAAGTATAAAAATCTCATTTTGATACCAATGCAAACTGTCAAAACATTATCTCTGCCTACACAATGAGTTCATTATATAAAATAAGTTCAATATTGAAACACCTACACATTATTCCTTTCACTTTCAGTTATATTCAAAACAGAAAACTATATGTTTAGGGGCCAGAGAGATAACATAGGGGTCAATGCAGTTTGTGTCTGCTGACTCATGTTCAGTTCTCTGTACCCCGTATGGTCCCTGGGACCAACTAGGCCAACTAGGAATGTGATTCCTGAACACAGAGCCAGGACGAATCCCTGAGTGTGGCTCCTCAAACCATCCTTCATTCTCTCTCTCTGTCTCTTTCTCCACACACACATATATATATATATATATATATATATATATATATATATATATTACTATTGTATAGAACTTTGTTCATAAGAAAATGGATCATTTTTACTGTGATTAAAAAATTACTGACTTTTTTGGGAATTATTTAATAAACTGTGTAATCTTCATTGCTGTATTCACTCATTCAGACTAATTTTTCCTCTACGTAAATTATGTCCTTTCTTGGATTTTAGGCTTAACGTTCTGAATACAAATTTATTTCTAAAAGAAATGGTGTGAGAGACAGTACAGCAGAGAAGGTGTTTGCCTTTCATATAGCCTATTTTGGTTTAAGTGTCGGCACTGCACTGAGTACCACCAAAGATGATTCCTGAGCAAAGAGCCTGTAATAGTCCCTGAGCCTGAATGAGTGCAGTCTGGAAAGCAAAAATCGTAATAAAATTAGAAATAAAATATAAGGGGTCAAAGTGATCGTACAGTGAGTAAAGTGTTTGCTTTGCACATGGCCCACTCGGGTTTGATCCTCGGCATCCCCTGAGCACTTCCAGGAGTAATTCCTGAGTAAATATATGAGTAATCCCTGAACATTGCCAGGTGTGACCCAAAAAGCAGAAAAATAAATGAGAAATAAAATATAATCTATGGATTATTTTGATTCTAAAGACACAATGAATGCATTTAAAATACGTTTTTAATCAGGAATAAGCAAGTGAGTTGAATTATTGTACACATTTTGTTCCCGGATAATTGTGAATTTTAAAAAATTAACCTAGACCATACATCTAAAATTAGGGAATCTACTCTGAAAAATATTCTGTGGGACTATATGATTGCAAAACTTTTTTAGAAGATGGTTTTATCAAAATTTTATGTGGGTTCATGTTTTACAAAAGATAAACATATAGCTTTCTGACATCAGTATCTCAGTAACTCAAACCTCTGTATCAATATGATTGCACAAAATTGTTGATGTCAGCTGTATTTATCAAGACTTCCTGTTCTTCTTATCCTATCGATCATTTTCTGTCTTGTTTATTTTTTTAAAAAACAGCTTCAGTTCCTTTTGTAGTTGTTAACTTACAACTTCTTTTTTTGCTGAATGATTTCATTGTATTTCAGTTTATGGAGTTCTATTCTAGTTCTAAGATGCTTTTAGCTACTTGGAAAAGTTTAAAAAGAATAATCAGAGACAGCTCAGTTTATCAAAAACTTGTCATATTATCAAACATTGATTACAGCAGCAATCAAGTTATAGTGTCCTGAGACTGGCACATTTCAAGTGTTTATTCTTACCTCAGAGTGATAAATAACTGCTCATATCCACATTATTCAACTAAGCCCCAAATCTTTTACTCTTATAACCCGATTAAAAATATACCGCTAAATCTTCTATCAGTTTATCTTCAAAGTAATGTTCTTCTGTTTCAATCCAAGACTTTTCATATCCCTGAAGAAAGAGATTGACAGCTCGATGCCTGAAAGATAAACACAGTTCCAAACAAAAGATGTTTGGGAGGTTTTTTTGCAAAGAAATAAATTGAAAAGGAATTCAGTGGAGTTTTATCATGAGAGTATCGGCACTAAAAGAAATAAATAAAAATAAACTTCCTCTCTTGATTGATTATCACGGATGGAGCCAGTTTTCTCAGATTAAAAACTGACTTGGATTTAAATCTGGGCTCAGCCACATCTAAGTCTTGTAATATTGAGCAAATTATTTAACTTTGGCAACTATCACTTTTTAAAAAAAATTATGACTATTTATAACCCTATCGATACCTCAGTCATATGAGATTTGAAATGAAAGAGGGTACTGGGTAAGAGGATTAATTCAGCTATTTAGACCATAAGCTTTATATACGTGAGATCAGAGTTATTCACAATGAAAAGAAAAATAAGTTTAATAAATGATAATATCAAATTGATGCTTTAAAATAGAACTGGCTCAGAGCAAACAATATAATGAATGTTAGTACAGAAATTATTCAGCATTTGAGTTCATAGTACATACAGGCTTGGAGGATTATAAAACAAAATGCATTAATATAAGTTTATTGAAGTATCTTTTTAAAAATTAAATCCTGGAAAAACTCATAGTAGTGACCTATAAAGTAAGTGACAAGCAGAAATTAGTAGAATAAGTAAACATAATTAAATTAAGAGATTACACTCAAATGGACAAAAAATACAGAGAAATTCATGATGATAAGGGAACTTCATGAGAGATTATTGGAAGTGCTAAAAAGTGCCTTCCATAGAGGCAGTAGGAGGCGGGGGAAACAGGGAACATCGATATACGGAAATCTGTGTACACGGGTAAAGAAATTGGTGCTGTAGTGTTGGAACTCTGTATGCAGGAACTAAATCATAAATTATGTTGTAACTTTGTAATTCATGGTAATTCAATAAAAAATTAAAAGGGAAAAAAGTAAAATAAAATGTGACAGTGGCAGTGCAGAATAGGAAGTTAATCTTAATGATACTAAATGAAGCTACAGAAGCAGGAAATATATATTTTTGGGGTACAAAGGGCAATGAAAATTGGAAAGGAATTGATAGTACAGTTAGAACTACTAGAAATCACAACACAGTGTATGCACGACAGACAAGAGACATCAAACTTAATGGTTCATCAAAGTCTTCTGTAGCTTTTAAACAAAACACGTGCTACTCCCTAATAGGTATTCTGATTCAATAACTGTGATTTGGATATTTCTCAAATGACTTAAGTGTATTTCCAAAAAGTCACATGTTTGAGAGTCATCAGAACTAGGGAGAAGCTTTTTTACATGGTATAGCGGGGCTGGAGTGATAGCAAGTGGGTGGGTATTTGCCTTGCATGCAGTCAATCCGAGTTAGATTTATCCGTCCCTATTGGAGAGTCCGGCAAGCTAAGGAGAGTATCCTGTCCACACGGCAGAGCCTGGAAAGCTCCCCGTGGCATATTCAATATGCCAAAAACAGTAACAAGAAATCTCGCAATGGAGATGTTACTGGTGCCAGCTAGAGTAAATTGATGAATAATGGGAGAACAGTGGTACAGTGCAGTGCATATCAGAGAAAGCAAAATTTCAAACAGCATAGAAACTAGCTCAGAATTTTCTGCTATCAACCTGACAGGTGATAATAAATAAGAAAGTTGCACCCCAGGCCAGGAAAGATTTGAACAACTGGACAGGAAAGGAAAGATAGAAATTCAAAATCTATCAAAGAATATCTGATGAAACTTGAAAACTGACTAGAGGAGTAACCAGAAAATAAATGATAATATGAATTCAAAGTTAACATTCTATTTGATGCCAACATCAATGAGAGAATGAGAGAATTTATAAGTAATACTAAATTTGTAAAGGAAATGAATCTGTTCACAGATTCAGTATGAAAAGGTGACAAGGCCTCTTGTGAGACTTTTTGTTTGTTTGGTTTGTATGGGCCATTCTTGTAAGTTTTGCTTTTCATTTTCTTCTTTATATTCCTCATGCAACATGTACTTAAAGTCTGGGTCCCATATGTTGCCAATATAAAAGAAACATACTCTAAAGAATTTCAAAATCTGAGTGAAAGAGACAAAGAGTCCTAATTCTATGTGGGGAGTACAACAGAATGTATGTAAAAACATTTTGTAAATATGTAGCAGGAAGCATTCAACATATAAGCAGGAAGGATATGGCTGGTCAGAGATGCCCCCTAACCAACCCCAAAATGTGCCTGGTGTTGTTTACCAGACAAGGGGACAACTCTACTTGTCTAAAGCTCAAAGCAAGTAATGGCAATTTCTTTGGAAAAGCATGAAATCTGAAATGATATCTGGATCCACCAAGACAAATTTGAACTCACTGTGTAACTTCTTTTTTTTTCTTTTTGAGTCATACCCAGCGATGCTCAGGGGTTACTCCTGGCTCTGCACTCAGGAATTATTCCTGGCGGTGCTTGGGGGACCATATGGGATGCTGGAAATTGAACCTGGGTCAGCCATGTGCAAGGCAAATGCCCTACTCTCTGTGCTATTGCTCCAGTCCCACACTACATAACTTCTGTACTAACAACTGTTGTATCTTGAAGAGAAGATTAAAAGGCCTGTCAAATTTATTTATATTCTCAGGGCTAGAGAGATATATAGCAGTGGATAAGATGCTTGCCTTGCACGCACCTGGTATTAATGTTTTTCTCCAGTTGTTAATAAGCAAAAAATGAATGAACCAGTAACATTCGCTGTAACCAGCTCAGGCCCAAATATTGTGCATACTTTAACCCAATAATCTGAAAAACTCTGAGCAAATCCTTTCATGACACAGAAGCTGATAGCAAAGTCAGTTAAGAAGCTTGATTAATGTTGTACAGCTATAAGCCAAGGTTCCAGGATTCAAATCGAGGTAATCAGACTATTAAGAATGCACTCCCAATAACTCAATTCTGCTAATGTGAGCATATCTACCCCCAAATTAACTTATCTATTCATTTTCTAAGTTGATCAAGATTCTATGACTTACAGTACCACACCATTAAAGATGGTCTCTCACACACATGATTCCAGTTGCATCTCCATCACCAGTATACCTATCCTTTTCCTCAACGACCCCTTCTCCTTTTAACCTCCCTTTCCCATGCCTACGCCATCAACAAGAATTCAGCTGTCAGGATCAATTCTCCTATTATGCTGCCTCTTACCCTTTGTTGCTACCTTGCTGTGTATTTTTAAGTCCTGCATATGAGAGAAATTCTTCACCCAAATTAAAATGTAATCACAATAACACAAACTGCATTTATCTAAGAATATCCAAAAAGGGGACAAAAACGAGTAAGTATTACTAGAAGTGGTACACCTCTTCCATCATGCTCTTGGGACAATTACTCTCAGTTTAAGGTAGGTGCTATAGGCATATTTGGGGGGAACGACTTTAATTTATTATAAATATAGCACAGCGGTAGGGCATTCGCCTTACAAGCGGCCAACATGGCCGACCCAGGTTCGATTCCTCCGCCCCTCTCGGAGAGCCCGGCAAGCTACGAGAGTATTCGATATGCCAAACACAGTAACAACAAAGTCTCCAATGGAGACGTTACTGGGCCCGCTCGAGCAAATCGACGATCAACGGGAGGGCCTTTACCTTTACCTTTATTAAAAAATAAATACTTCACCTTGGCAGGTTATATAAAGGAGCCATTCGGAAGCAGGCGACCACTGCCCTTTTCCTCTGCTTAGAGAGCAGTTTGTGCCAGACTGCCTTTTTAGATCTCTGAGGATGTTCCACCTGAGGTAGTAAGAGACAAAAAACTAAAATTAAAACCCATGCTGTCATTAAAACATGGCAATAAACAGCTGTACTTTTTCTAGTAAAAACTTGAAATTCCAATGTCCTAAATTTGAAATCGTTTTAAATGTTACATATGTTCCTTAGTAGAAATGGAATATTTTTTTCATTACTGTGTATTTCAAAATGATGTCATCTGTGAAATCAGGAAATATAAAACCATTCTCTATGCAAGTATTTGCATCCTCTTAATTTAGTTTTAATTTACAAAATTACTATACTTTTGCTTGTGTGTAACTTTTTAGATAATTTATGATGCACTGCGAACTTAATAGAGAGTTGAAGAAAATTCTACTGTTCCTTAATATCATACAGATGACAAGTCTTCATTAACACAATGCTAGGAGTGAGTGAAAAAAATCTAATTTTGCAGAAATGTTAAAATATGTAATAATTGTTAGAAAAGAATAAGTGAGAATTTAGAAGTTATAGTAAATGATGCAAGCAAGTTATTTATTTAGCAAATGGTGTTTAGATATCCAAAAGGAAAAAATATTTTAATATTAGAAAGGAAATCTATTCAATATGTAATTCCAAACTAATTAGTAATCACTAGGCAATTAAACACTGTACTTCCCAGACCATATCTCCGGTATATATATGTAGATTTCTGGAAGAAAATAAAATGGTGTATTAGCTAAAAACATATACTAAATTTATTATTCTTTGTAGTACAGGGCAATAATATGAAGATAATATGTCTATAAAATACTTTTAAATAGCTAGACCACAGAAGCTTAAATTTTAGTAAACAATTTAGACAATTTGAAAGCACTATTTCTGCAATCTCTCACCTCTATAAAATCATTAAATACTTTTTTGGTAATTGTTCATTTCAATTTTCTTAATAATTGCATTAAGTGAAGTGAAATCCTGTGAGAATAATGTAGATGAAGATAGAATAAAAGGTAATTTTTTCTTACTAGACCTAATACACTTAAACTTAAAGCTATGCTTTTTGAAACCCAAAACTGAAAATACTAGCTTTTTTAGAAATTAGTTATTCTTATCAGCATGAATAATAAATAACAAACCTTTAAAAAGGACAGAGACATTGAAGATCCCGTGGTGAACATGGTAGAAAAAACCTTCGCCATTACAAAACATTAATATCTAGAGTCTTTGATTACACAAGACAATAAATAGGGACTAACACTTAAGCAAAGTGAATGTAGCACTGTAGCACTGTCCTCCCATTGTTCATTGGTTTGTTCGAGCGGGCCCAGTAACATCTCCATTGTGAGACTTGTTGTTACTGTGTTTAGCATATCCAATACGTCACAGCTAGCTTGCCAGGCTTTTGCCCTGCGGGCAAGATACTCTCGGTAGCTTGCTGGGCTCTCGGAGAGTGGCAGAGGAACCGAACCTGGCTTGGCTGGGCCAGCAGTTTGCAAGGCAAATGCCCTACCACTGTGCTATTGCTCCAGCCCAGAAAATATGCTAGAAATATATCTCATATAATTATTTGAGTATATATTTCTGTTTCCACACTCTCTACTAGAGTATAAACTACTTGAGTGACAAGATTCAATTCTCAGCACCTCTAATATTCAATGTTGCAATTTGGAAGTGTACCCAATAAATGTTTAGTGAAAGGAATGACTGCTGGGGCTGGAGCAATAGCACAGTGAGTAGGGCATTTGCTTTGCATGCGGCCGACCCAGGTTTGATTCCCAGCATCCCATATGGTCCCCTGAGCACCACCAGGTGTAATTCCTGAGTGCAGAACCAGGAGTAACCTCTGTGCATCGCCAGATGTGATCCAAAAATCAAAAGAAAAAAAAAGGAATGACTGCTTAGTAAAACTGCTTAATAAAAGCATTATTTTATCAATGACACAACTGATCATATTTTCATATATTTATAAATAATAAATTAATACATTGAAAGAATCATATTTCAATAAAACATTTAGTTATTTAAAATCCAGACAAATTCAGATGTACATACAAAAACTAGCAAGAATTATAGAAGTTGACACTGGTGTTGAAATATTATATGCCTAAGACCCAACTATCAATAACTTCTAAATCAGTTCTTTAATTTTTTAAAAGACAAAAATAAACTGATTGTAGAGTAATAGTGCCATAAGTAGTTATCTAAAAGTCATTTATTTAAAATTTGTTAACTTATTTCTGAAAATAATTATATCAGATATATCACTTAAAATTCCATAACAACAAATTTGTCATCTACTGATTGATGAATATTTCTATATATTTACTATTTTGTAAAACTATTACAGAGTGGCACCAGTTGCAGTTGCATGGCCAAAAGCATGACTACTGCAGCTACAGCAGTGGCCCCAGGGGCTGGGGCAAGAGTGATGGTGGTCTTGTGGGGTGGTTGCAGAACTTCATGCCAGGGTGGCCATGCATACACCCAGCACAACTCCCATGTACTGCACCTGTGACCTCCTCAGACATGAAGCACTATGGGAGCGCTTTGGGAGCACTACTGTAGGCAAAAAGGAGCACTGATGGTAACTAGACAATCCAAAATCACTGGCATGCCTCCAGCTGCACTCTACTGTCTCAAAGAATACAGCCTCACCCAGAAACTGATGTCTTGAAAGTATCAAATATGTGGGTTTTGTGACTGAAATCTCCAGGCTTTTCTGAGTCAGGAGGAGCTTCCTTCCTAGTATTTTGAGAAGCTCCAGTGGTCATACCCACCCCACAAAGCCACCACTCAGTTATAAATTTAACTCCAGATATAACATCACCTTAAAAATTTTGGACTTTCTGGAGTGTACCGCCATGACATCTCAATCTCTACAAACTAATAAATCAGTACTAGCACGCAAGATTGGATGGATGTAACACAGACAGCAACCAATCTTGATTAACGAGCACAAACACGGACAGTTTAACCTGTAACAAGATCTTAATCTCTCATGCAAGGATTTAATGTCTTCATGGTGAGACACAACAATACTATTTTTCTTCTTTATTTTTTTAACTATTGAATTAAGTTTTTTATTTTATTTTATTTTTTCTTCTAAGTAAATTTTTGATCATTCTGTTAGCAAAATTATTGATAACTTGTAACATAACAAATTACTGAGGGTTGGCTATGGAGGCAGGCTTAAGGGGTGGTTGGGAACACTGGACACAATGGTGGAAGGAAGGTGTAATGGTGGTGGGATTGGCGTTGGAATATTGACGCCTGTAACAAATTATCATGAACAACTGTGTAAACCACAGTGATTATATTATGTGTAGGAGAAAACTTTGCCTATGTAGGCTTTTCAGATTCCATGTAAATTCGAAAAAAATATTAATGTAGGATTGCTTTAAAAGTTTTATTAGAAACAGGTGAGATATAATTATTACCCTACTCAGATCAATTATAAATAAAATTTAAGGTAATATAGTTTAGATTCCAGAGCTGAAAATTTATATATATAAATGAGAATAGGTATTTTAAGCTATTGCATTAAATTGTTTTAAATTTTTTTACTTATATAGATCAAAATCATATAGTAGTGACAAAATGACTCTTACTGATACAGTTTCTGATCATTCTATTTGTCATTTCGTAAAGTTTTGTTGGAACAAGATATATAAAATAAATTTGTTTTGTGCCCAAGAGGGGGCAGGAAGGGATTGGGAGGAAAATTGGGGATATTGGTGAACGGAAGGTCACACTGATGTTGTTGAAAAACTAATTGCTTGAAACAACAATATAATGGAAAACTTTGTAAATTACTTTGCAAATAAAAATTAATTTTAACAAAGCTATTACAGAAATATTTAGGAAAAGATTAAGTTGTAAAATCTGTATTATATTATATTATTTATTGTGTTGTTGGAACTGTCCTCCCATTGTTCATGGATTTGCTCGAACAGGTACCAGTAACGTCTCCATTGGGATACTTCTTGTTACTGTTTTTGGCATATCGAATACGCCACAGGAACTTTGCCAGGCTCTGCTGTGTGGGTGGGATAATCTCAGTAGCTTGCCAGGCTCTCCAAGAGGGATGAAGGAACCAAACCTGGGTCGGTCGCGTGTAAGGCAAACGCCCTACCCACCGTGCAATATAAGTCAATAGCCATAGGTTTGAGAATATTGAAGTTAAGTCTGATTGGGCATGATGACAGTTTCATGGCATTAGAGAAACATTTTTTAGGAAATTTGAATAATGGGAGAGTGGGATATCATTAGATGAAAAGAAAAAATAGAAATCATAGAAAAGAGTTTAATTATTAACACATTAATGCGTTCCACAAAACATTTAGGTGACATATTTCTTGATATGATACATGGTATTTTATTTCATGGCAGTCAGTGCAAAATAACCAACTATAAAGTAGAGATGTCTTGTCATAAAGACCATTGAATGACAGTTTACAGTGTTGAGTTCATCTATATTCTCTTCTCCAGTGTTATAATGCTAACTGGACCACATACGAAATAGAGATAATGCTTCTGCGCTGTGGATAGTTTGCCTAAGTTAGAAGACTCCTAACATAAATATATGACCCCACTACGCATAATACTTCAATTATTATTAGTTTTGGTATTCCTGAACAAAGAAAATAAACAAGAAAATCCATTTTACTGTTTAAAATAGGATACAACTAAAATTATACAAAGACAGTATTTTCACATAACTTTAACTCCATTGCATTGCATTTTTCTTTATTGCTTACCACAGAGAAAGAATTATATTATTCTAAAAATTAACCTAATAAGAGAAAATCTTAAGCAAGTAAGAAAAAATTTCTAATATTAAAAGTGAGCAATATTGTCTCAAACATGTGTTGAAGATTAATAAAAATAACACAAAAATAAAATATTTGAAATGGTCTATAATTCCTGAACATTTTGTTATAATTACTTAAAATAAATTACTCAATACTTCTAATTTGGATAGATATAGAAAAAATTTAATTATAATAAAAGCATTAGTATACCAAAAGACATAATCTTTCTCTTGTTACAATCATCATATACTTGGAAATTGTGTTTAGATGTCAGGGATTTACAAGTTACATATCCTTTATATATCCTATACTGATCCCATATATAGTTTTCAGTTCATAGTTAATAAATTAACACACTCATAGTTAATATTTTAACAAACTAAATATATTTTAAATATATTTTTGTACATATATTTTGTATATATTTGTATATATATTTTGTATATATATTTTGTATATATATATTGTAAATATATTTTTGTAAATCAAATGTGGTTGAACGAACATAAAACCGAACCTGTTCAAGATGAAAAAGCACATTTGCTATATCCAATACTCTCTCTATTGTCTTTTCAGGATCTGAAGTATCTTCGGTTCTGTTTGGTAAATCTTTGTAAAGAGCCATTTGCCATCTAATAGCAGGATCTTCCAACTGTAAAAAAATAAAAAGGAAATGTAATGTTTTTGAAAAAATATTTAATGTAGCAGATCTCCTAGAATAGATCTTTAAGAATTCATTGAGCTTTCTACAGTATGAACTCACTATGCATACTCATGAAACTTGTCACTAGTGAGATAGACATTAAGCAAGTATTTGTAATTATGATGAGGAGGATGAGGGATACTAAAAATAAAATTAAAAGTTCAACCTAGTCTGTGGGCAGGGAGATGCACAGGGACCAAAGGCACATGTTTTGCATGCACAGAATAATGCCAGGCACCAGTAACTAAACTGGTTGAATATCGAATATCCCCAGGAATGGCCTTGGGGCCCCTGAACACTGCTTTGGAGGCTGTCAACAAAGAAGGAAAGAACAGGAGAAAGAGAGAGAGAGAGAAAAAGGAGAAAGAGAGAGAGAGAGAAAGAGAGAGAGAGAGAGAAAGAGAGAGAGAGAGACTTAATTTAGTCTGATAATTGGTTATTGAAGAGAATTGCCCTTAAATAAGTGAAGTTTCACTTAGGTTCTAAGGCTGAATTGGAGGAAGAGAAAGGAAATAGGCAAAGCAATCTTTTGTCTTTTTCTTTAGTCAACACACATTAAAAGACTTACATACTTACACAGACAACAATATAGAATTATATACATTGATAAACAGAGTGGCAGTACAAAAGAACTTAGTCTTACTGAAATATAGGTGTCAATTAATATAAATCAATTATGTATATCAGATCATATTAAAGGAAACTATACACCATGTTTTGATAATGGCAAGTTTTCAATATGAAAAATTATACTTAAGCGTGTGTGAATTTAGTAAAGGTTATTATAAATTATACACACAAATGTAAGCATCTTCGCATAAGAAAGTGAATTGGGTGTTTGTCTCTCATGCAGCCATCCAGGTTTGATCCCTTGCATCCCATACAAGTCCCCTGAACACTGCCAGGAGTCATCCCTGAGTGCAGAGCTAGGAATGTCGCTGAGCATTGCCAGGTGTGGATCCCAAACAAAACAAACTAAAAAACACATTTATCCAAACAAATATAGAATACCTACATGAATAAAAATAGCGAATCAATTTTGTTATCTCATTTCTCCTACATAAAATTGAGAATTATGAAGATAACAAAAAATAAGTAAAAGTAATTTATGATCCTGCAATTTCTAACTAGAAAAATACAGTTTGATTGTTTTTTAGTTCAGACTTGAAGAATCACTCTCTACCACTGAGTCGCATCTCCAAACCCAAAGTACTGACTGAAATGGAGATGTCAAAAATAAGTTTCCTCTATAGACAAACATAGACTTTATACACTGAGTGATTTGTAAATGCCATTTGTCCCTTGTTATTATTTCTCATTTGAGGACTATGTTTATCTCTGCTAGATTCAGTATGAATTTTTGAGAAAATGAGTCAAGTTTTTATTATTGTCAATAAGTTATTAATTTCCCTGTCTCCAGGATTACTAGTCATACAATTTCATAATATTCAAGGAGTTGAAAAAAAAGACAATTTGTAAGCCTATCTATCTCTATAATATGTATGCCTAACTACAACAGAGGAAAAAAAATATAGAATAAAATATCAAAAATAAAAAATGTAAAATCATTACCTATACATCATCTAGAAGTGAAATATTTATTTTAAATATCTTTCATTTTCAGCTCAACTTTTTCTTCCCAACCCCCAAACAGGACATAAATTTACCAGAGTATTGCTAGAAGTTCTGAAACCTCTAGAATATAATGAACAATTTAATTTTTATTCAAGATACAACTTTATCACCAGCTCCTGAAAAACATATTTTTCTTTATCTTTCTTTATCCAGGTACCTACTAGCCATCTGCATGCTTTACTGGGGGAAGTGTCTATTCGTATCCTCTCCACACCTTTTTAAAATGGATTTATTGGATCTTTTTTTGTGAGCAGCTCTGTGTTCTATATAATCTTGGAAATTAACTCTTTATCTGATGTTTTGTGTGCATTCATTCCCTCCCATTGAGTAGGATATCTTTATTTCAGTATGAGTTTATTTTTTCATGCAGAACCTTTTTGAGTTTATGTATAAACACCCATCTATATATAAATATTTTATTGTTATCTCTGGAGTTAAATTATTTAAATATACCTATGAGGTTCATATCCTAGAGTGTTTCATTTCTTTATGTTTCAATGTGTATTTTGGATTATAGTTTAACCTCCAGATCTTTAATTCACTTTTGAGTTACCTTTCGTGAATGGTGTGAAATACAGTTCCAGTTTCATTATTTTCACATCTGGCCAATCAGCATGTGGTTTCCCCAACACTATTTGTTAAAGAGGCTTTCCTGGTCCCACTTCAAATAGCCAAATTTTTGTCATATTGTAACTGTCCATAGATCTGAGGTTTAACTTTGGGCTCTTAATTTCATTCCATTGGTCTGAAAGTCTATTTGTGTTTAAGAGCATAGTACAATTTAAAGATGGGATTGAAAAACCCCCTATCTCTTTTTTTCCCTCAGGAATGTTTCATCTATTTCAGGATATTTAAGGTTTTACTCTGTCCTCCCGTTGTTCATCGACTTGCTTGAGCGAGCTGGTAACGTCTCCATTTTGAGACTTGTTGTTACTGTGTTTGACATATTGAAGATGTCACGGGTGGCTTGCCAGGCTTTGTCGTGTGGGCGAGATAGTCTCAGTAGCTTGCCGGGCTCTCTGAGAGGAGTGGAGGAATTAAACTCGGCTAGCCAAGCTGGCTGCAGGCAAGGCAAATGCCCTGCTGCTGTTCAATCACTCCCCACATTGATCGCCAGGGTTGATTCAGCTGATCTGGCTGGCTAGGCGGGTGTCCCCTTCCTCCCTCACAATTCCATGTGCATCCCTCCCAAAGCTGTGGGATCAGTGGAAGAGGACGGCCTTCCCTAAATAGAGATGAACCTGTCTCTGGTCGAGGGTAGACGAGTAGCTGCGCTCCCCTGCTAGCACCTCCAAACAAGGTTTTATACAATTAGAATTTGTTCTAAGTCATTGAAGAATGTCATCAGAATTTTGATGGAGACTTGAGTAATCTTAGTGCTTTGGTAAAATGGTAATTTTGTCAATGTTAATTCTTCTAATCCACGAACATGAAATATTTTACCAATTCCTGGGGCCCTCTTCAATTTTATTAGTAATGATATAATTTTGTTGTACAGGACTTTCATATCCTTTGTGAAATTGATTTCAAGGTAGATGTTCCTAGAAGTTATAGTGAATGATACTGTTTTTTTTCCCTTCTAGTTCATTATCTGCATGCACAAATGCAAAACTTGGGGGTGGAGTGATAGTACATCTGGTAGGGCAATTGCTTTGCATGCAGCTAATCCTGGTTTGAACCCCAGCATCCCAAATGGTCCCCTATGCACTGCCCATTGCCATGAGTAATTCCTGAGTGCAGAGCCAGGAGTGATTCCTAAAAATCACTGGATGTGATCCCAAAACCAAAATATTAAATAATTCAAAAGAAATGTAAAATATTTTGTGTGTATTTTGTAGTTTGCTACTTTGTTATGCTTATTTGTTACTTCTAAGAAAATTCTGGTGCTATATTTAAGGTTGTCTACATATATCATCAAGTCATTGGTAAAAAGAGACAGTTTAGCTTTTTTATCCAATTGGAATCTCTCTCTTTACCTTGATTTCTGGTTCAAGGAATAAAAGTGGGGTGGACAGCAAGATGATGGCCACCTCGGAGCTTTTTGGAAAGCCAGGTATGAGCCGGCCATGACAGGGCAACTGAAACCTCTTGGGAAGGGGGGTGTTCCCAACTCGTCCTTCACGCCCTACCGAGGTCATGAGTTGCCCCCAATGAGTGGCTCTCCGGCACGGTCATGGCTCCAGAGCCACAGAAGCCAATCTTATAATTATCTGACTCTCGGCAGAAATACTTCCAGGCTTAATAAGTAAAATATCAGAAATCCAAAGCGCGCGGCTGCAATAGTGGCCTCATGACATCATTTGGTTCTTGTAACCAGCTGCAGAAAACAAATTATTTCACAATGCCTTTTCAGCAGGTCTGATTTTGGGGTGTAAACTCTAAATAATAATGGTGCATCTTTTGTCAAAACAATGAATCTAATCAAAGTAGATAGAGTGTTAACTAGAATTCATCTGCCTCACAGGTATTGGGAGGGTTGGGAGGGGGTATATTGGGGTTCTTGGTGGTGAGAAATAAGTACTGGTGAAGGGAAATATGTTTGATGATTGCATGACCGAGACTTAAACCTGAAAGCTTTGTAACTTTTCTCACAGTGATTCAATAAATAAATAAATAAAAATAAAAGTGGGGAAAGTTGAAATTCTTGCTTTTTGCTGAAAATTGAAGGCTTTCAGGATTTTTGGCCTTTGAATATAGTGTTAACTGTAGGTCTGTTGTAGGTAACTTTAGAAATCTTAAGAATTCTACCATGAGTGGATACTAAATCTTGTGAAAAGCTTTTTATGCACCTGTTGACATGATCTTAGTTTTTTATTCTCTTTTGTTGATATGACACATCATATTAATCATCAATTTCTGTCTATTGAACCATTCTTGCAACCTTGGAATGAATACCACTTGATAACAGTCAAATATGAAACTTTTGATATACTGTTGGCATTAGTTTGCTAAGACTTTGTTGAGAATCTTTATATAGAAGATTCATTTTGATATAAGCTATATCTTTTTAAGTAGTATCTCTATCTGATTTGAATTATGGTACTGTTGGCATCATAGAAGGCTTTAGGAAGAATTCCTGTTACTTATTTTGGAACAATTTGAGGATAATAGGTAGTAGGTCTTCTTTGAATACTTATAAAATTCAACAATGACTTATCTGTACAAAGACTTTTTATCCTTGGGATATTTTTAATTACTTTTTCAATTTCCTTTCCCATGATTGGTTTGTTCAGGTGACTTAATTCCTCCTGATTCAATTATGAGAAATTTGTGATTCTAAGAATTCATTAATTTCTTTTAGGTTTTCCAGCTTAGTGGAATAAAGTTCTTCTTAGTAATTTATTATGCTAGATTATAACAGGTTTTTATATTTTTGATATGTAGTAATTCCTCCCATTTCACCTATGACCCAATGTGTTTGGATATTTTCTCTCATGTTTTTTTGTGAGTGTAGTGAATGGCTTGTCAATTTTTTAAATTCTTTCCAAAAAGGCTCTTGGTTTTCTTGATTATTTGTATTATTTTCTTGATTTCTATGTAATTGATTTCTGTTCTGATTTTTATAGTTTCCTTTATTATATTAGAAAAAATACAACAAACAATTCCCAAAGTTTTGAGAATACTTTCCATTCTTATACTTTGGGAAATATTTGTTGTACTTTTTCTAATTTCCAAGTTGTGGTGTTCAGTCATTGATTTTAGCCTTTTCTTCTTTCCTGCAAACCAGAATTGCTATAAAATTGTCTCTTAGTAATGCTTTTGTTTTGCCCCATAGTTTTTCTATCTTGTGTTTTCATTTGTTTCAAGAAATTTTTTATATAGTATTTGATTTTCTTTTTGATAAGTTCATCATTTAACAGTATGTTGTTCAGGCTCTAAATGTTGAAACTTTTGAAACCATTCTTTTTATAATTATGTGTACTTTCACGGAGTGATAGCACAGTGGTAGAGTGTTTGCCTTGTGCGCGCCGGCCCAGCCGAGCCAGGTTCCATTCCTCTGCCCCTCTGGGAGAGCCTGGCAAGCTACTGAGAGTATCTCACCTGCACAGCAAAGCCTGGCAAGCTACCCGTGAAGTATTCAATATGCCAAACACAGTAACAAGACTCACAATGGAGCTGTTACTGGGCACGCTCAAGCAAATCAATGAACAATGGGAGGACAGTGGTACAGTGCTTCATGACATTATGATCTGAAAAGACACGATATGATTCCTATTTTCATGACTTTGAGATTACTTGAGTTGTGTGACAACATATGATATATCCTGGAGAATGGTGCATATGTATGAGAAATAATGTGAATTGGACTCCTGGTGGGTGGAGGGTACTATATATGTCTATTAGTCAAAGATTTTCCATTTCTTAATTTAAGACTCTTTCTTCAGTGATGTCCAGTCTGGATAATATACTTAATGAAGAGAGTAGAGTACAAAAATGTCCCATTACTATTAGGTTGTGCCATTAAGATATCTCCTTAGGTTTATTAGTGGTTTCTTCATAAACTTTGGTTCTCCTTCATTTGTTGCATATATGCTGATGATATTAACACCTCTTGATCTATTTATCGTTTAACCGAGAGGCGGCATGCCTCTTATAATTTTCTTTAGCTTGAATGTTATTCTATCTGATACAAGTATGCTTGTCAGTGTTTTGTTACCTGTATGATCATATTTCCAGCTTTCACTCCAAGCCTGTTCCATTTATTTATTTATTTATTTATTTTGGTTTTTGCTTTGCACTCTTGGCTTACTCCTCCTCTGCACTCATAAATCTCTCCTGATGGGTTCAGGGACTCCATATGGAGTGTGGAGGATTGGATGTAGGTTGGCTGCATGTAAGACCTTACACATTGTACTATTTAAGGCCCAGCTAACCTGTTTTTACCAAGACATTTGAATTATATCTCTTGGAAGCAACAGAATGTTGAATTTTGTTTCCTTGAATTTTTGCCCAGTCACTCCGTGTCATGTTATGGAATAGTTTATCTCATTGGCATTTAGAAATATTATTAATATAAAAAAATTTGCGGGGGCTGGAGAGATAGCACAGCGGGTAGGGCATTTGCCTTTCACGCGGCCGACCCGGGTTCGATTCCCAGCATCCCATATGGTCCCCTGAGCGCTGCCAGGAGTAACTCGTGAGTGCAGAGCCAGGAGTAACCCCTGTGCATAGCCAGGTGTGACCCAAAAAGAAAAAAAAATTGCGGTCATGTATGTATGTGGAATTTAGTTGCTTATGCCATTTGACATTGCATACTCTGTTTCCCTGCCAGAGCTGGTTTAGATGTTATAAATGTCCTTAGCTTATGATTTTCTAAGAATGTTTGTCCCCCTTCAATTCCAAGTGATAACCCTATAGTGTTGGAGTTTCTTTATATTCAAACTTTGTATAAACCATTCCATTCCCTTCTTGTTTATAGTTTCATTAGAAAAATCTGCTGTGATTATATCTTTTCCCTTGTATATATCTTTTCCCTTGTATGTGAGGTTTTATTTCTCTCTTGTTGCTTGAAGGAGTCTGTCGTTCTTTGGTTCTTATCATTCTAATTACAATACATCTTACTGGTCTGTTTCAGTTGGATTGGATTGGCACCTTTTGGGTTTCTTGAACTAGTGTTTCAGGGAAGTTACCAACAATTAACTCTCAAGTAACTTTACTTCTCTTCTCCCTCTTTCTTCTGCTCTTGGAATTTCAATGATTTTGAGGTATTTTTCTCATATATTTTCTGATTTTTTTGTTTTTCCTTTTTCTATTGCCTCCCTTTTTCCTGATGGATCTGTACACCATATATCTGAGTTTACTGATTTTACCTTCAGCTTTATCTATTTGGATATGGCATTCTTTATTTATTACTTACTATAGTTTGGGTCAAATGTTTACAATAATATTGGCTTGTGGTTTTGATGGACTTAATTACCTCACCTCTAAACAACTGAAAGGCCCAAACACCCTTGAATGACAATGACAAAAGTGTTCTTTTGTTATTACCATTCTCATTCTTACCATCCATTTTCCCTGTTTTGTCCTTTATCTCTTTTGTTTTTATTTTACTGAATTCCTTCATTTTGTTAGATTAGTCTATCTTAAAGTTTTTTGGTTCTCTGTTTAATGTAGTTTTCAGATTATTAAGCACCAATGGGATTGTTGTTCCAACACCTTCTTTGAGAAGATTAGAAAGACCTGATGTAATTGGGAATTGCCTGGACTTTTGTCACCCTCTGTTGACTGAACTGAGTTCCTTAGCTTTTAATGTATTCTGATGCTTAGTTGTCTGAAGGGTGTGACACTGGCCAGTCCTATTCCAGTGTGTTTCTCACCAGTGGTGTGGTGTAAATTGTTTCCCAAGAATACGTTCGCCTTGGGGCTCTGTATCTTCTAGATTGGCCTCGTCTTAACAAGTTCCTTGGAGGCTGTGTGCAGGTCTGACCCCAAAGTTTTAGAACTCATCCTAGAGCTCTGGATCAGTTGGCCTGCTCTGGGTGTACACTGGAATGTGCCTGAAATTAGAAATATTTCTAATTGGCTCTGAGTTTTGCAGTAGTGAATTTGGTACTGAGACTCTGGGTTTGGTACTGGGGGGTTTGGCTATTGGGACTATGGGTTTGGTAATGAGAACCTCACACTAGGGTCTAGCTGAATGGTGCTGGGCATGGCAATGGCTAGACCTTTGTAAACTTTTTCTTAAAGGAAATGAACATTTCCTGTCTCTACCCACTAGTGATGACCTTAGAGATATAAAATCTACTTAAATACCAAATAAATTCCTTGTTTGCAATTCAGTGGAGATTTTTATAGATTATTTCAAATGGCCAACATCCTTTATTGATGAAAAAAGATCATCCTCAATTAGGAATTAATCTCCTCCTCTGGAAAAGTGTTACTAAATGCATGACTTGGTGCACATAAAATTTGCTCTAAATAAATATTTTATCATTGTGACTATTATAAAGGCACAAGTCATATTATCATGCTATAATCCAAAATACTGAAAGAAAAAAATTGGTTTAGGTTTTAAGAAGAGACATTTTAACATTAAGATGTCCATCTATTGAATATAGTAGTTATGTCTTTTTATCATTTAAATATTTTCATAACAAAATAAAAATGTCTTAAAAAGGGGACCTTATAAAAAGAAAAGAGACTGAGTGAAAATATTGGCTAGTTTGACTTCTTATGTTATGCAATGGACTCTCCAAGGAAATGGATAATTTATCCAGTAGTACAAAAATCCAAAAATATAAGCCCATACATATAAGGCTACATAACCACTTAAAGAAAGTCTTTCACATACCAGAAAAATATATGTACATCTTAGTTTCCATTCATGTTTCTCTTCTAAATATGCATTCAGCTTCCTAAAAAATTAATTTCTAAAACAATAATTTTCAATATATCATATGTACTAATGACTCTTAATTGCATAGTTTTTGTGCATTACTACATGTAAAATTTTAAATTCTTTCACACCTGTCACCATGTACTAAGAGTCTTATCCTTTTAAATATGAAGGACATGTCCAACCTTTGTTTTAATTGGTAACTTTTTGTTTTCACAAAGTTTTACAGTCTTTGACTATCTACCTTAAAAATTCAACATTTGATACAACAAGAATATTTAATATAAAATTACCTATAACAAAATGATTACTGATTATTTTCTATATTTTAATTGATGAATGACATTATAGTACTATGGCAAAGCAATTTTAAATTGCAGGTACTGAATGTATTTTAGAACATATTTTGGCTTACCTTGCCTTGTAAGTGAATGTTGCTGCGGATTATATCTCGTACTTCATCCTCAGTGTCTTTCTGTTAAGAAATAAATATTAACTGAAAGAAGTCTGACAATACATCAACTGTCACACCAAGAGAAGTAAATCAAGCCTTTTTGAAACAGTGCATATCTGAGTAAGCACCATTACTGTTAATATATGCCACCCACATGAAAAAATGCTCTACATCACCAATAATCAGGGAGATGCAAATCAAAACAACAATGAGATATCATCTTACACCACAAAGACTGGCACACATCAAAAAGAACAAAAACAACCAATGCTGGTGTGGATGTGGAGAGAAAGGGAGTCTCCTTCTCTGTTCGTGGGAATGTTGATTGATCCAACCTTTTTTGCAGAACAATATGAGCATTCCTCAAACAGCTAGAAATTGAGCTTCCATATACCCCAACAATATCACTTATAGCAATATACCCACGGGCTTCAAAAATAGACAGCAGAAATGACATATGCACTTGTATGTTCATTGCAGCACAGTTCACAATAGCCAGAATCTGGAAACAACTTAAGTGCCCGGGAACAGATGGCTGGTTAAAGACACTTTGATATATCTACACAATGGAATACTATGCAGCTATTAGAATGAAGATGAAGTCATGAAATTTGCTTAGAAGTGGAGGGACATGGAGAGTATCATGCTGAGTTGAAATGAGTCAGAAAGAAAGGGAAAGACATAGAATGACTGTACTCATTTGTTGAATATAAAATAACATAGTACAGAGACTAACACACATATAGCAGAGACAAGAGCTAGGAGGATTGCTCCATGATTGAAAGCCTGCCTCATGAGTTGGGGGAGAAGGAAACTGGGATAGAACAGGGACTACTAAAGTCAATGATGGTTGGAGGGATCGTTCAGGATGAGAGGTGTGTGCTGAAAGTAGACAAAGGACCAAGCATGATGGCCTCCCAGTTTCTATATTGCAAACCATAATGCCCAAAAGTAGAAAGAGAGAGTTAAAAGGAAAGTGCTTGCCATAGAGACAGAGGATGGGGTGAAGTGGGGGTGATGGGAGGGACATTGGGGACATTGGTGGTAGAAAATGTACACTGATAGAGGGATGGATGTTTGGTCATTGTATCACTGAAACTCAATCATGAAAGCTTTGTAACTATCTCATGGTGATTAAAATTTAAAAAGTCACAAATTGGGGAGGGGGGTTCTCATAACAAGTTTGGGGTTTCTTGTGATGGTTTATTTTCAAGCCAAGCTCTGACTCATTATAAAGCAAAAATATAACTTAATTTTGCTTCACAAAAAGATGGAGAACAGAAACATGTTCCCGAGGGTTCAGTCAAAAGTATGTCTCCAGAATCTTTGAAATAGCCTTAGCAATTCTCTGAAATCACTGAATAATTTTATTACTTAGTAACATCACCTATGATTTGGTAATAACACAAAACATAACCCGAGGAACAGGTAGTAGAGAACAACTGACAGATCTACCCTTGTACAGTCCTTGCTGCACAATCTCCAGACAATCTGCTCATGTTAGGATATCAAACTCTGTGGATAGAGGACCCCTTGACATGGGATCACGGTGAAGACAATATATCTTTCAATTTACATAAGTATAAAGCAGCAATCTCATTTTGGCAGAATGAAGAAAAAATAGGAGCTATAAGGAATTCTTGAGAATTTAATTCTTCATGCTTGCAAATCTGAACTGCCAATGTAAAAGATACACTTTATCTAATCACAGTCAGTGTGATGAACCACACTTCTAATATTGACCCAATCACACTGTGAAAACTTGAAGATACCTCTTACCATCGGTCTTACATAGTAGTTTATATGAAATTCATTTTTTTTTGCTTTTTGGGTCACACCCGGTGATGCACAGGGGTTACTCCTGGCCCATGCACTCAGAAATTATTCCTGGCGATGCTTGGGGGACCGTATAGGATGCTGGGAATTGAACTTGGGTTGGCTGCGTGCAAGGCAAATGCCCTACCGCTGTGCTATTGCTCCAGCCCCTGAAATTCATTTTTTAGACTACCAGTGACTTCTTTAAGTCTTCTATATTTGGATTTTAAATATTTCTGAAGGATATTAACATAATTTAGAATTGTTAAAATAGTAATAGGAAAAATCGACAGTCATTGCATCTGAGTCTTAGAACCTTTACAGAAAGACTTTGTACTGTAACCTTGAATGCAAATCAAATATTGACATAAAGCAGCGAGTTAAGAGTCTGAACAGCTCAGAGTCTGGACATAAAATGATCATTATCACTGGTAGGGAAAAAAAAACAGTCTTACCATACTAAATCGCATTTTGGCAAGAGCAATGAGCTCCTGATCTCCTGGGGCACAAATGTTTAATCCAATGGGCAACAAGCGCTTCAAAGCTGCTACAATAAGAGAGGTCTGCATGGAATAGCGATCTCCTTTGCGCTTCATTTTCTTCCTTTCCTGATCAGAAACAGCTGCCTAATGAAAAAGAATTAAGTGTTACAATCTGTGAGCTATTTTTTCTCATATACAGAATTACAAAATTTTCCTAACCTGCAGTGGTTTCATCTCCCTCATTTCCCTACTTCCTATTTTGTTTTTCTTTAGGGGCTAACATTCAGTGGAGCTCAGGATTTACTCCTACCCTAAGGGATCACTCCTGAAGATACTAGGGGAACCAAATGGAGAGCCAGGGATCAAACCCAGGTCTATGCCTTCAAGGCATGTAGCCTGCTCACTGTATTATCTCTCTAACCCCTCTAGTCCCTGTTTTTGAATATTCAACTGTGGATCCTTTTTCTCTTTCTCTCCAAGCCTCTTTTGCTAATGTTTGTTCTATAGTCTCAAAGTTTCAAGTCATTACAATTCACTGATATGCATTTCTGTATAGTTCTAAAAGGGAAAAAGGCACACTGTACTATTAGAAAAGCAGATGTATGTGAACTTTTATTGAAATTTCAGTTCCTTCGTATTTCAATGCTTAAGAGAAATATTAAGAACGAATTACTGTTTTGTCTTGAGAAATACTTGCTTTGCCAACAACACACAAGCATATACATACATATACATACATATATATACATATATATAGCACTATTATAAAATTCATGTTTACAATAGATTGTTTCCCAAGGACCCAAGACTTCTCTGTTGGAAATATATCTATCATACCAATCAATGTTAACTAAACATTTGGAATTATCTCTGGCTGCTATATCTGGATAATCTAAAGGGATTTTACTAAAGATTACCCTCTTGCCACAAAGTTGCTTCAAATTTTCACCGAAGTCATAAAAACCTGATTCTGTACCTGCCTGCTTTACCACACAGAGTTAAAACACTCCTAAGTACTCTAACGTGTCTGTGAAACCAGAGAACAGCATCTCTTAAATCATGCCAATGCAAGAAAGCTACATTTAGACATTTAGAGAACTGGGAAACAAATTGTTGCAATACCTTTGACATTTTTGACTTGGTGTCAGTAATGAGGAAAGACATATTATTGATTTCATTCTGTACCACGAAGTTCTGCTCTTCCCTCTTGAAATTCTAGGAAATTTCAAAGAAGATTCCAGTCAAAACCATATGGATAGGTAGTATGTGTAATTAGTGATACCCATAATCCCATGTTTCTATGAAGATAGGTGAGTACTAATTTATGATTCATGGTGAAAATAAGCTGGAGCGATAGCACAGCGGTAGGGCATTTGCTTGCACACAGCCAACATGGCCGACCCGAGTTCGATTCCTCTGCCCCTCTCGGAGAGCCCGGCAAGCTACCGAGAGTATCTCGCCCGCACGGCAGAGCCTGGCAAGCCCCCTGTGATGTATTCGATATGCCAGACACAGTAACAACAAAGTCTCCAATGGAGACACTACTGGGCCCGCTCCAGCAAATCGACGAACAACGGGTGAAAATAAGCAATTTCTGTTGAATACCCTAGAAGGGAGATTGGCTAGGGGCAAAACATCTGGGAACTAGATGTAAATGTGTAAGTTTCAAAGATGGGAAACTTGAGGCCCCCAAAATTTAAGCAACAGCAATCTACAAATGCAAGAATGGCTACTTGAACTCCCATTCAATTGGCAAAAAGCATAGATGTTGCTTCTGAAACAAACATTTTCAAAGGGCGTATACAATTACAATGGAAGTTCCACATTTCTAGTTTTCAAATAACATAAAATAATTTATTCACTTTTAATTTATAAACATAAAAACAGGCAAATAAAAAGCAAACACAAAATTAAAGTCAAAATAAACAATTTTAAAAAATAAGTTAACATATGCTATACTCTTTCAGATGAAAAATCTCCAAATAAAGCAGTCTCATAATAGCATCTAAGTATCAATCTAAATAGGTTGATATTTGAAAACTATAAAAAAAGTGCAAGGATAGCAAAAATCTAAATCCTGAATATAATTTAGTTTATACTAATATTCTAATTTTACTATTAAGAAGACTTTTAATATAATTTCACCTTTAATATTAGGAAATAGCTCATATGAGTCATATGAATATATATGAATTTTTAACAACACATGATTCAAAAGCACACAGTTATATTTTATTATTGAAAGATTCATTAAATATTCTTTTTTTATGTAGGAGTACTGCTATTTATTCAGCCACTGATTAGCTGATTGAATTGGGCATGAACTCCACAAGATTCATTAAATATTCTAAAAAATTACTGATTATTAAAACCATGTTCAAAATTTTGCCTTGCATGTAAATTCACAGATTTTTTTTTTTGGCTTGATGAAGTTCAAGACTTTCATCTATAAGAAAACATATAAGTGTTTCTTCCTGTAATATGTATCTTGTTTGCTTGTCTCCATATTTCTTTGCTTATTTCCACTCTGGAGAAGCCCTTGTTTTCTCTCGAACGTAAACTTCTCTTTCCCTTTCCCCTCAGATCTTTCTAAATAAATTTTATTTAAAAACTTTCTTGTTTCACACACACAGAAAATGGTAGTTTTAATTTTCTTAAGTTTATTACTCCTGGACTTTAGATTTCAAAATTTTGTTTGGATATATTACAAATGATTTATGTATTTTAATGTAGTTCATGTATCATTTCTGTGTAATTATATGCATTATGTATTTGAGGGAAAACAGTTTTGTTGAAAGAAAGTTTTAAAGAAGTGGGGAGAAAGAAAGAATGAGAAAATGCTTTCTGATTCCTAATGTATGTTTTCCTAGTGTATGTTTTTATATACATCTTAGTTTTAAGTTTGATAATTTCCTCAGACTCAGTCAATAAATAGTATTTACTATCGTAAATTAAATGTCAATTTAATTTGGAATATTGTTTTCAATTAGTCTAAATTATATATTAAAGTTATTATATAAAAACAGATAATGAAATAAACTGGATGGTGGGAAATATTTGAAAAAATAAAACTGTGTATAGGATAACATTGTTTTGTCCTTCCTGCATAGCCTCAGGTAGTTTAGGTTTATTGGGTTACTCCCATTCCTCTGTGTTTATTTGTAAACTTTTTTCTTTGTGCTCTGTTGACTTGTAAATATTGTTTTTCTCTTCTCCTTAAGTCCTTTGCATGGTTTATTCAGAACAATGTTCTTTTTGTATGGGCACAAGAAGACAGTAAATGCTATGCTTTTGTAATGTGGGAGTCATTTGACTTTAAACGATATTTTTCTCCTGGGCATCTGTTCACTCAACCTAAGCCTCAGATACCCTTACTTCCTAGCACCTCCAAAAGCAGGGTCCTGACAAGGGACTGGTTGGAACCAGGGCAAGCGGTAAGCTATGTGCTACTCTGGCATCAAAATGGGCCTGGCCAAAGTGCCATAATGCTCAACTATATAAGTTAGAGATTGGTCATGGACAAATGCTGTCAGGATCCAAAGAGTAATAACTAGATTCAGACCCTGGTAAGGTTAGGAATGATTAATCTGACCTGAGTGCTGAAGTCTGAGTCTGTGGCAAGATGTTCCCAGGAGAGCTGCCCTACAAGCCTCAATGTATCCCTTACTGTGTCCATACAAAAATAACTAGTATTAAGATGTTGATTGAGTTTTTGGACTGAGGAAAGGATAAAAACACCTTAGGAAGTATTTTGCCCTTGGACAGTCAGGAAGGGCTTTGGAATAACCCTTAGGTGGTGTTTCAGCCTTTGAGCCAAATGGGCAGTCAGAAAGGGCCTTTTTTTTTCTTTTCTTTTTTTTTTTTGCTTTTGGGGTCATACCTGGTGATGCACAGGGGTTACTCCTGGTTCTGCACTCAGGAATTGTCCCTGGTGGTGCTCAGGGGACCATATAGATGCTGGGAATCGAACCCAGGTCAGTTGCGTGCAAGGCAAATGCCCTACCCGCTGTGCTACTGCTCCAGCCCCAGAAAGGGCTTTCTTATGTTGATATTGCTACCTGACTAGGACTGGATGTAGCACTGGCCCAGAGTGCAGAAGAGGCAGAATCCAGAGAGCTGGGACCCAGGAATGAGGTGCTAGGAAGGAAGAGTGCATGAGATGGGAGAGACGAGAGACTGAATAAACAGCAACTAATCATCAACTGGCTTGGTCATCATTATTCCTTCGCCTGCCCATTGCCAACAGCCACTGTCCTGATCCAGTCCATACACAGCAGCTTGAGTGCACTGAATGCGGTCAGTGAGACAGAGCTGTCTGGAGAGCCCTCGAACACATACCCTTAAGTGTGCATATTTCTTACAACTGTGGATGTGTTTTGTGTTTCTTTGTCAAAGTTCCATAGAATCATATGATACAAAAATCCCAAACATTTTAAATAATTGGGACCAAATATTACCATTACCCATATTTTGCAAGTTATTAAAATAATTACATGGTACATTCAAGGTTCAGTTATAGCTAATATACTTTTCAGACAAAAATAAATAGTCCTCCTTACAACATATAAAATAGTTCACTAAAGAGGTAATTTACAGAGCTTATCAACAGAATATCTAGTAGGAGCTTTATTTTTTCTAAGCTGTTAGTGAGATCAGATTCAATTGGAGATAAATGTGTGAAAACAGAACAAATTTATAATAGTGCCTCTACAAGTAAAAAACCTGTCTATCCTGTATTACAAACATATGAGTTTAGCCCAGTGCTTATCAAACTGAGGCAGGAGTATTTCTGATAGAAATATGTTATGTTAGATATGATAGCACTGTAGCACTGTCCTCTCAATGTTCATTGATTTGCTTGAGAGGGTCCAGTAACATCTCCATTGTGAGACTTGTTACTGTGTTTGGCATATCGAATATGTCACGGGTAGTTTGCCAGGCTTTGCCATGTGGGCGAGATACTCTCAGTAGCTTGCCAAGCTCTCCGAGGGGATGGAGGAACTGAACCTGGGTTGGCCGAATAAGCCACGTGCAAGGCAAATGCCCTACCTGCTGTGCTGTGGCCCAGCCCCAGATATGGTAGCGATATCACAGCGAGTAGGGCGTTCACCTTAGACGAGGCCAACCAGACCGAGCTGAGTTTCGATTCTTCTGCCTTCATTTCCTCCACCCCTCGCCCCTCTCAGAGAGCCTGGCAAGCTACAGAGAGTATCTCGTCCACATGACAAAGCCTAGCAAGCTACCCATGACACATTTGATATGCCAAATAACAAGTCTCACAATGTTACTGGGCCCGCTCGAGCAAATCAATGAACAATGGGGAGGGCAGATATGGTACATTAGACAGAAAAAAATATCAATATAGAAAAAAATCCTGAATGATAACGATGGTGCACATCTCTCTATATCCTTTCCCCTTGATATTTAGAATAAAATTAAAAATCAGTGATTTTTAAAGGTAAATTAAAAATTCAAAAGAATATAACTTTGTGCTTCAAACTTTCCGGAAGAAAGTTGTTGTTTTTTTTTTCCCTCAATGGTTAAATGCTATTTCTAGACAAGTTTGAGAAACACTACTTATTAAGGGATTAGAGAATGTGCAAAAGGTTTAAAGCCTTTGACCTAAACCAAATAGAGATATTTATTATTTTTTTCCTACTTACATGGGATTTGGACCAGTAGATAAATACTTCTGCTACCATCCGAAAAAGATCTTCTGCTTCTGGGTTTGGCTCCTTTAGCCATTTTGCCCTGGATCCCACAATAAACAGAGAAGTTTCTAAGTTACTGCTTAGAGTCAATTTCCAAAATAGATCACCCTCCCAAAGTTAAATTTGAAACCAAGGAACTAAGGATGAACATGCTGACCAGAGTTGATGTGTGCTTTTAATCAATGTATAGAAGCTACATTTAAAAATGAAAACACCCAACATCAGAATTGCCAAACTTCTAACTTCCACATATGAAAGTCTACTAGAACACTTTTCAGAATATGATTTCTGGTAGCAAATTTTAAGATCTCTCAGTAAAAATGAACTTAGCAACAACATTGAGCAATAATCATGAATGGACTCATTCCTAAGTTGATAGTGAATAAATTGCTTTAGCAATTCAACTGGAGTCTTCATCGTCACAAGATATTGACTGAATTAGAGAAATTCATCACTTTTGATCATTATACCTGTTGTAGTCCACAAATCTAATTAAGAGAGGGTAGAAGGCATAGAGATCTCTGGCCAGTGTGGTAAACTCATCTAGAATAAGAAGTTCTGCCTCCGACATATCCCCTCTGGCCTCGGCTTTCAGATGGTCTTCTTCAGATACCACCATCGCTGCCTTTTTCTTGAGTTTTTCCATTAATGGCAAGAAATGAGTTTTCAAGAGCTGAGGTTTCACTTTATTTATAATAGGCTGGGAAAATACTGTTTGAAGATAGGCATTAGTATTCTGCTCAGCATAAACAATCACTAAAATGAGGACAGATTGCAATTACATTTGAAGCATGATTAAAAAATTTCTACTCAGTACATGACTTCTTTTAGGAATTCAGCCCTACTTCGGTCACTTGTTAGTTCAAACTAAAATTATTACTGAATTGAATTTGAGGTGCCCCTTTCTTTTAAAAGAAAGACTGTCAAAAAAAATATGGGGCAGGAGAAGGTGTTGATTTACTCTGAAAATCAGCAATTTTACTCAGTAAAAATATCCAAATGGAAAAGTTCTTTTAGAAGAATTATGCAAATACAATAGTTCTATGAGACTGCATACAGTTATCTCAATGAAACTGTCTCACACTTCTGAGAAAGAGTTAAGTTACATATAAACAATTTTCTTGTATGTATTAATAAATATAGTTGTTGGCAAAGGTTTTAAAATGTTATTAGAATATTGACAATGATTTTTCTGAAATGCAGTCCACATATATGCAACATTCACCGAAAAAATGACTTTAATAATTTTAAGGGGGATAAGATAAATATAAAAACACCTAAATCACCAGTAAGCAACCTACCCATCATGAATATATTGGTATATTTAGAGTATTTGTCAATAAATACCTCATAACTATATAGTATACTGCATATTAACATTTACTAACCCATTCTTATTTGAATTATTTAAATTCCCAATGTGCAATTAAATAGTGAAATGATAGATCAACTTAAATGTAAGTACTTGACTATATCTCTGATTATGCTTTTCAACACCTAAATAAAAGAGATGCTAAAAGTGGGTGCTTCAAACTACAATTTCATTTTGTCTCTTCAACAGAATTATTCTTTCTTACTGCTTGTTTACTGATTAATGTTAAATAAATTATCAAAGCAAAAAAAAAAACAGAAATTGTCAAAGTAAGGGCCAGAACTATAGTACTGGCAGATAGTACCGGACACATGCAAGGCAAGGAATGGAGCTTGCCTTGCACTTGGCTGACTTAGGTTCAATCCCAGGTACTACCCATGGTCCTCCAAGTGTGCCAGGATCCCTGAGCAGAGCCAGGAGGAAGCCCTGAGCATTGCTAGCTATAAAACAAACAAACAAAAAAAACAAAAAACCAATAAACACCCCAGCCCAAAATTTTAAAAAAATATCAAACTAGGTAAATATTTACTTAAAAATGGCAATTGGGGGGACTGAAGCTATAGTACACTGGGTAGGGAGTTTTCCTTGCATGCAGCTGACCCAGGTTTGATCCCTAGCATCCCATAGGGTCCCCCAGCATGGTCAGTAGTAATTCCAGAGTGTAGAGCCAGGAGTAACCCCTGAGCACTGATGGGTATGACCCAAAAAGCAAAATAAATATTTTTTAAAAATGGCAATTAGGGAGAGAGATCTAATCCAGAATGATCTTTCTCATGTATACGATATAAATAGACATGCTAAGAAAAGAAAAAAATGTCCAACGGAAACAAAGAACAACAGAACTGGTTTCCAGTAGGAAACATATCACTGGGGAATTGGTAGGGTGGCAGTAGGTTAAGTGAGAGAAACTGTACAGGGAAAAGAATACTTAAGAAGTGGTGCAGAATTCATCTCCCATCCTGGGAGGATCCTCCCAACACCCTTTATTTGGTGCTCCCTTCTCTATCTGAGCTGCCTTTTCCCTAGCATGTGCAGCTGGCCTCTCAGCCATGGAGTAAACCTCCTGGTACGGGATGAGGGGTGGGAGGGATACTGGGATCAGTGGTGGTGGAGAGTGGGCATTGGTGGAGGGACGGGCACTTGATCATTGTATAAATAAAACCCGAGCACCAAAATTTGTAAGTCTACAACCATACTTCATGGTGTTTCACTAATAAAAATTAAAAACAAAAAAAAAAAAAGAAGAGGTGCAGGAAAGTGGTGAATTGGGAGGAGGAGGTAAGTGCTGAAAGTGGTAAAGTATTATTCATGAAGTTCTATCAGTAACAATACTGTAAACCATAGTGCCAAAAAGGTATTAAAAAGTGCCTGTTAGAGGTTGGATGGTGGAAGAGAAATAGTGGGCATTGGTGGAGGGAAGTGGACACTGGTAAAGGTATTGATGTTGGAACACGGTATGCCTGAGACAATGATGAATAACTTTGTAACACATGGTGACTAAGTAAAAAAAATTAAAAATGATAACTAGGGACAAAAAGATGGCAAACTTGGTCAGGTGATTTTGTTACATGCTGCCATCCCAAGTTCAATTTTCAGCACAACATATGGTGCTCTGAGCACCACTGGGAGTGATCCTTGAACACTGAGCCAGAAATAAACCCTGAACATAGACAGGAGTAACCCTCAAATAAAACAAACAAAAAGTGGTAACTCCATGTAACGTAACCCAATGCATAATATATCAATTTTTAAAAAGAACAGCATGACAGAAATAATATTTTTAGCACATAAGAAAATGTTCATAAGTCAAAGAGAAAAATGCTAGTCTTCTGTGCATTTCCAATCTTTTTAGGCATGAGACAATCATAGTCGGCATATCTGCTTCCAATTTCTTACCTGCTAACCTCTTCATCCAGGCTCCCTCATCAATACCCAAGTTATTATATATGATTTTCAATATATTCCCCAGAAGTGTGTTCATGTGCTCTGAGTTCAAAGCGGTACAGCACATTTCTGCCCTTTCCAGATTGTTCTCAGGTCCATGCTCCCACCAACGAGACATGTAGCTACACAACATGGGTAGTATCACTTCCATTACATGTGGCATTTGAGTGTAGCGAATGCCAGATTCTGCCAAGTCCACAATTTCTTCCATCAGTTTATCTAAAGACGGTATATTTGGACAAACATCTTCCACATTCGCTGGCAAATTGAGAGCTGGGGAAACATGTAGGAGAAAGATCTGTATTCAGTTAATGAAATGATGTTAATGAACAGCCAGATTTGGACCATCTCCAATTGTCACAGGCAACCATTTCCCATGGCTTTCAATGCAGCAAAATCTGGCATGTCTTCAACTGGCTCCTTTTTCCTTTGCTCAAAGCAGCTATCTCCAGTCTGCTTCCTGCTTCCCCCCCCCCCGCAACTTCATACACTGCAACCACCATATTTTTTTTTCTTTTTGGGTCACATTTGGCAATGCTCAGAGGTTACTCCTGGCTCTGCACTCAGGAATCACTCCTGGCAGTACTCAGGGAACCATATGGGATGCTGGGAACAGAACCCGGGCCAGTCGTGTGCAAGGCAAATATCCTACCTACTGTGCTATTGTTCCAACCCCCGCAACCACCTTCTTAAGCATAGCAAATAAATTCTACCTCAGAGCACATATGAATATCAAGTGTCTGCCTACATGTCTAATATATCTTATCCTATCTTTCTATCCACTCCTAACTTCAGACACAGGAATATGGGGTATAGTGTTTCACCTGTATATTACTGAGAAGGGCCTAGACCATTGAACTGACCTTGGTTAGGTATATAATTTTAGTTCCTTGATAGTTAAGTCTCATCCCCAACAATGGAAATCTTCTTGTATAGATCTTATACCAACATAGTTTAATCTTCAGATGCTCTCCCATTCACAATACTAAAGTGCCTGTTTTTAAAGATCTTTTAACAAAATAAATCTTTATCATGCTTACCTTTTTCTTCAAGTTGCATCACTGACCAAATCTCTCTCTCTCTCTCTCTCTCTCTCTCTCTCTCTCTTTCTCTCTCTCTGTCCCTTTGTTGGTGGGTCACACCTGGAGGTTCTCAGGGTTTACTCCTTGCTCTGCACTCAGGCAGTGCTCAAGGGACCACCTGGAGTGCCAGGGATCTAACCCAGGTCTGCTGCATGCAAAGCAAGCTCCTCACCCACTCCAGCTCCTGAAAATATTTGCCTCCTTAACTTCAAGGCTTTTAGTCTTTGATAACTCTTTTTTCAGCAGTAACTTTCATTGTGTACTCTCCCAAGAAAGAGAACTGGGGAAAATTCGAGGCAATACTCTGCTAACAAGACCAGCTGTTGCAATACTTAGACAAGTTAGACAAGTTCCCTGGATGCTATTTAGTGCCAGAATTCAAAGGCATCTCTGTTGACCCTTGAGCTATTTCTACACTGCCTGGGATGTATGTGTGTGTGTGTGTGTGTGTGTGAGAGAGAGAGAGAGAGAGAGAGAGAGAGAGAGAGAGAGAGAGAGAGAGAGGCAGACAGACAGACAGAAAGAGATAGAAACATAGAAACAGAGAGACAGAGAGAAACAGAGACAGAGAGAGAGAGAAATAGAGAGAAAGAGAGAGAGAGTTGAGATTTTAATATCTGCTTAAGTTTTTTTAGGTAACATTGACTTCCAAGAATGTAAATATTTATTATAACTCTCTTACAGAGTTTTTTTGGATGGCTCTTTAAATTTTTTATTTTCGTGGATTTTTAGGTAACATATTTTCAACAGTGCTAATGCTTACAGTTTCAATGCACAGTAACTGCATCTTAACATCACTTAACAGCACTTGGAATTGTCCTCTTCAATCTTCCCTAAAACTTCCCTTTTATTTGGCAATCTCAGTTTGGTAATGCAAGGCCAGGAGGTTGTCATCATCTAAGAGTATCTATCCCTCTGCCTTTTTTCCTCTATATACCACAAGAGGATGGCATGACAAGCTACTCGAGGCATATTCAATATGCCCCAAACAGTAACAATAACAGGTCTCATTCCCCTGTCCCTGAAAGAGCCTCCAATATGGCAGCATTGGGAAAGACAAGTAAGGAGAGGCTGCTAAAATCTCAGGGCTGGGACAAATGGAGATTTACTGGTGCGTACTCGAGTAATACAGTGATACATTGATTCAGTGACATACCACAAGTCAGTGAAATCATTGGTACTTCTCCCTTCAGACTTTGCTTATGATAGTTTCTAGTTTTACCCAAGTTGCAGTAAACCTCAGGGCTTCATATTTTCTTACAGCTGCCTATAATTACAGTAAGAATTTTTTTTTTTACAAAATTTTAAATGCTGTCAATTTCCTTTATTGATTCTTTTTTCTTTTAGAATTTAGGATTGTTCACTTCAGGAATTTATAAGTGTTTTTTCCTTTAATTTACTAAGTGAAAATTAGAATGAAAATAAAATAATGATAACACTGTACAGCACTGTCCTGTTGTTCATCGATTTGCTCGAGCAGGCACCAGTAACGTCTCACAACAAATTTGAAACTTGTTGTTGCTGTTTTTGGCATATTAAATACACCATGGGTAGCTTGCCAGTCTTTGTTGTGTGGGTGAGATACTCTCAGTAGCTTGCCTGGCTCTCCAAGAGGGGTGGAGGAATCGAACCCAGGTCAGCCATGTCACCGCGTGCAAGGCAAACGCCCTACCCACTGTACTATAACTCTTGAAAAAATTAGCCATAAAATCAGAATAACACGAGTTACACAGAGACAAACCCTATTGAGAGGTATATGTCTGAGAATAGCAAACAGACTAATGGCAAGGCAAGTTTTGAAAAATATTTAAGTCCGTTGAAAAAATAACTAAAATGTAAAATACTATATTGGAATAGGGAGAACCAAGCCAAAAGATACATAAGAATTTGCTGTATAATATTTAGGCTTCAAGTGGCTAACTCTGGTTCAATCTTAGTACAGCATCAGGTACCCTAGGATACCAGGAGTGCATGGAGCCAGGAATAGTTGTGAGCATCAATAAATATGACCCCAAATAAAAAAAAATGAAACAGTACTGCATAGAACATAACTAATATCATTATATTTTACCTAAATATCTTAAATACTGGACTAATTTCTTGCATTACCTGCTCTCTCCCGTGAAGTCTTAGTATTATAGATCGAGTAAATATTATGCTTGTTGAGGTGAGTTTCCAAATATGCTACAGGAAAGGCACCAGCAAATGCAGCCAGACATTCTCCTAAAGCAGAACGTTGTCTATAAGTAGAAAATGTTTATAGTTTGTTATCCAAGTAAATGTCCAGAGAACTTCTATTACAAATACAAGTTTAACTTTAAAAGAAATGATAGTGCTACTGAAACAACCACAAACCCAACTTCCTTATCACAAAACAACTTATATTTTCTATAACAAACATGTGACATTTTTTGAAAAAGCACACTTATGTATTAGCTAGAAAGAGGTTAAATGATCTGAGTAGATTAAAAACCAAGCAAATTTTTCAAATCCCCTAAAAATTTGGACATTTTCTTTCTCCCCCGCAACTCCTCTCCTTCACTCTTGATTGTCTTCTCTCTTTCATTTCCTTCTATTTCATTTATCAGGTTTTTAATATTTTATTTTTTAACATACTGATTTAGAGAAAGAATTCATGTGATGCTGAGAAAACTTTAAACGAGAAATACTGATATTAATATACACAATTTTCTAAACAAGATTTGTATATAAATAAGTTCAGCCTAGCTATAATATATTAATAGATGCTAATACAAAGGGCTCATTAATCACTGTTAAAAGTTATTTGTACTTTCAGTGGGAGTAATGTAAAAGGAATCAGATTGTCATTACTAATTTAGGAAAGTCTATAACCAAAGTCTCCCTTGACACAATAGAGATTTTTTCCTCTTATTTATCTACATAATCCAAGTCTTAATTGAAATACTGTTTATTTAATGCAGTTAAAAATGAGTACTATTTAATCATGTTATGAATTCCTTAATTTATATAGTGAATTTAATAAATAAAAGAGTATTGAATTCTGTTACAAAGCTTTAAATTTCTCACTAAAAAAGGAAATTTAAAATTATAATATAATATTTTAATTTAAAAAATGACAAGGTATCTAGTAATATAAGAAATACTATTATTTGAAAGACAAAATAAAGTTCAATTAAAATAGTCAATTGCTGGGGATGGAGTGATAGCACAGCGGGTAGCCTTGCACGAGGCTGACCTGGGTTCGATTCCCAGCATCCTATATAGTCCCCTGAGCACTACCAGGAGTAATTCCTGAGTGCGTGAGCCAGGAGTAACCCCTGTCCTGTGCATCGCCAAGTGTGACCCAAAAAGCAAAAAAAAAAAATGTTTCAATTGTTAAAAATAATTTAGGACATCAAGGAATTGCAGCATCATAGATTCTGATTTAGAAATAATTTCATTTTTATTCCCAACTCTTATGTCATTATAGAAAAATTACATACTCTTTCAAAGTTTGGCTCCTCTTGCCAAATATACTCAAAGTTGAAAAATTTATGTCACATGAAATGGGTTGGAGCAATAGCACAGCAGGTAGAGTGTCTGCCTTGTACACGGATGATCCAGGTTCAATTCCTCCATCCCTCTTGGAGAGTCCGGCAAGAAACCAAGAGTATTCCGTCTGCATGGCAGAACCTGGCAAGCTCCCCGGGGTGTATTTGATATGCCAAAACCAGTAACAACAAGTCTCACAATAGAAATGTTACTGGTGCCCACTTGAGCAAATCGATGAACAATGGTAGGACCGTGCTACAGTGCTACAGAGTGAGCTTGATGAATGTTTTAAAATAACAAGAAGGAAGTTAAGATTATAATAGCCTAAAATATTTTATGTATGACTCCAGAACAGGTTATTTTTTCTTAGATTTGTACTAATCCTTTCAATTTACCAATAACATATGTTATTTACTGTAAAATTTTTGTTCAGTCAGAAATTCTCAGGCTTACTCTAATTATGTCTTGTATTCTTGAAATTGCCATTTTTCTTTCAAATTATTCATTAAAGTATTTGTATTTATAGTAGAGTGTTAGTGTTACTTTAAGAACTTTATTTACATTTTACTTATCTACAAACTTTTATTTTTATATTTTCTCTAACCCTAATATCACAGCATCACGGTCCTCCTGTTGTTCATCGATTTTGCTCGAGCAGGCCCAGTAACATCTCCATCATGAGACTTGTTACTGTATTTGACATATCAAATACGTCATGGATAGCTTGCCAGGCTCTCCGAGAGGGTCGGAGAAATCGAACTCGGGTTGGCCATGTTGGCGGCTTGTAAGGCAAACGCCCTACTGCTATGCTATTGTTCCAGCCCCAATTTAATTTAAAAACAATATATACAACACTAAGTAATTGTATTCATTAACATTTTAATTGATATAATGTTAATTTAAATGACTGTATAAGTTTCAGGGTGCAACTTCACACCTCTTCAAAGTAAGTATTTTCACACAAAACCACTACCTTTTTAAGAATCTACATTTTAAGAATCTATATTTTCTTAAGGAAAGTCTGAAAGCAAGAAATCATAGTAATAGTGACAGTGACTGCAAAGATATGAAATAATTTTAACTATCCAATGTTAAAATATACATGGGGGTTGGAGCGATAGCACAGTGGGTAGGGCATTTTCTTGCATGCGGCTGATCCGGGTTCGATTCCCAGCATCCTATATGGTTCCCCGAGCATTGCTAGGAGTAATTCCTGAGCGCATGAGTCAGGAGTAACCCCTGTGCATTTCTGGGTGTGACCCAAAATAAAGGGAAAATATATATATATATATATATATATATATATAAAATACAAAATACTAACAACTCAATCTATCCGTACTGATTTAATAATCAAACAAGTCAAATTATAGACCAGAACAGAAATTGTAGAAAATATGTTAGTATTTTCAGGGTATGGTGCCGCCATCAGGTCAATCTGTGAGACAAGGGTATAAGCAGCCTGATGGTGCCTTCAGACTTCTAGATACCCCATAATTGCTGCTGTGCCTTTAGTCAGACACCAACAACTTGGGGCAAAGTTTACCAACAAAGTAAATGGCCAAAAGTTAGGTATGTGGGAGACACACTCATAAACCACCTCCAGCTCTGCTATATAATTGGAGTAAAGTCCTCTCCGGTTCCTGATCAAACTGCTTAACAGCCATGATCCCAGAGACTCAGAACCAAATCTCAGAACTCATTGGCTTTTAGCAGAAATACATCCAGTCCCCACAGTAAGTTACCACTGCTGGGCCACTCCAGTGGGGGAAGGGTGTTGTCCCTTGCCTGCTATCTCTTGGCGGCTTGTTGACTACCATCCTCCAAAGGCCATTGAATAGTCAGGTTTGGGTCCGCAGTGACGAGACACACAGGGCCTCACGGTATGGAGGGTGGAGCTGGCCCTTTCCTCCCTGCCCAACGAGACCCCGAGTCACTGCCCACAAACGGCCTCTCTGGCTCCTGATCAAGCTGCTTAATGGCCATGATCCCAGAGATTCAGAAACAAATCTCGGAGCCCAGCAGCTTTTGGCAGAAATCCTCTAGATTTAATCTTTAAAATTTCAGAATTCCAATATTGTGCAGCCAATACTGTGTCCACATAACATCATATGTTATTCATAACCAGCAATCGAAAACAAATTGTCTATGGTTGCCTATTTGGGAGATCTGAGTGTTGGGGTAAAATCCCAAATAATAATGGAGGGTCTGGTGTCAAAATATTGAATGTGACCAAAGTAGAGAGAGAGTAATGTGGAAGTCATCTATCCCACAGGTAGGAGGGAGGGTGTGGGATGGGGTGTATACTGGGGTTTTTGGTGGTGGAAAATAGGCACTGGTGAAGGGATAGGTGTTTCATCATTGTATGACCGAGACTTAAAGCCAAAAGCTTTGTGACTGCTCTCACAGTGATTCAATAAATAAATTTATAAAAAGGGAAAAAAAATTAAGGTGGAGTTCATGCCAATTCAATCAGCCTAATCAATGGCTGGACAAATAGCAAAACTCCTATATTAAAATTAAAAGAAAAGAAAATATGTTAGTATTTATTTTAATTTACTATAGTCTAATAGGGCAGGAGTGGTAGCACAGCATTTGCCTTACACGCAGCTGACCCAGGTTCGATTCCTCCACTTCTCTCAGAGAGCCTGGCTACTGAGAGTATCTCACCCGCATGACAAATCCTGGCAAGCTCCCTGTGACGAATTTGATATGCCAAACACAGTAACAACAAATCTCACAATTTGTTGTGAGACATTTCTGGTGCCTGCTCGAGCAAATCGATGAGCAACGGGAGAACAGTTCTACAGTGCTTATAGTCTAATAAATTACTAATTTTCTCTATGATGAAAGATTGCTTTTAAGTTGAAATAAAAAAATCTAATAAAATATTTTATATATGCTTCATGACTGCCTATATTTATAATTACTTTGTAGTTCTAATATATAGTAAGAAGCTATACCAGCAGAATCTTTCATAAGATAAATGCTAAAGTTTAACTCATATTAAATTTGGTCTTTAGCATAATGGCTTTGCTTTTATTCTAATTCAATTAATATATTCATTCAAATTTATCTTACAGATACATAGTTACTCCCAATGAATTCTATGTCTCTATCTGGTTGATTTATCACCAAGGAAAAACTGGAAAACACAGCTTTTTGTAACAGTTATAACAATTGAAAGTACTATTAACACAAAGTCAAAAATTCTTAAAATCTTACCTTTCTACATAAATACTCTTGCTGGTCCCCAAAGCATATAAGCTAGTTAAAATTCTATAACATGATACCTGGACATCTTCCACTAAGGACAAAAAAGAATCTCACTTGAAAAAATAATCACTCATAAATTGTCATGCAAAAAATTTAGGCTAAGAAAAAATTTCATTATAAAGGCATACTAACATTTTATATGTAAAGAAAGAAAATACAAATAAGAATATATATATTTATATTTTTAACATACTTTTTCTAAAAAATATTCTTTATAAAGAACAGAAATGTTCTAAAAGTCATGCAGGGATCATTTAATCATTAAATAACTTCTTTATCATTTCATCCTAGGTTACAAAGGAATTCAAAAACCTAACTTAGCACACACACATATCTAGGAGGACAAGTAGATTTTTAGCTCCTTTAAAAAAAGTAATTTAAGGTAATTTTAACTCTCAAATGAGAATGAAAATGCTGCAGGACAAAACCTTTTAGATATTCTAGAAGAAATATTTACATAGTAAGACTGCAATAGATACTGGATTTCTAATTATAATTCTGCTATGATTTATTGGTGAAAAATACAACAGTGGAGATAAGTTGCATGTTGTCTATACTGCACTTGAGAAATGCACCTATTGGAGCAAATGATTTATGACTAGGCTTGGTTTCATATCCTGAGTAAACAGTAGTTATTACATAAAGCTACAGTTCACCTGACCTACAACACTGAAGGTCTGTATGGGAGGGTCTACAGATAGAAACTTTGTGTGACAGGGAACAAGTGTTCTTTCATGTTCGTATCATCAGGAGAATTGGGAAAGTAGGACAAAGCAAGTACTATTTATCTTTTTCAAATAGCCTAGTGAATTCTGTAGATATTTTATATTATCATCATCATTATCATAAGATTAATCTCCTTTGAAATCAAACTGAAACTAAGAACAGAAGATACTTGTGCCATGCTAGCAACCTAACTAGTCAAGATACAGATTTGTCTCAACTGTCTTCATATCTATTGGTAGAAAAGTTTGTGAAAGTGATCTGCATTAACTTGGTAATTAGAAATGTTTTAAGATTGCATGTCCTATGGTAAAACCAAATTAGAAAATGTCAAGAAAAACCACAGTGTAAAATTGTAAAAATTGTAAAAATTGACAGCTTGGAAATAACTGCCTAGAGCCACTATCTTCCCGTTCATTAGTAAATTCATGTGATTCGGTGATTATCACTATAAAAATAAACTCAATGTCCACCTATAAGCATTTTAATGTATAAGCAACATTTAAAAACATGGCTAATGGCATTTATAATTTTATTAAACTATTAAACTAAGTAATGGATTTACATACATATTAGATCTTCTCCGAACTGATGCTGGCCAATATGTTCAAATAATGATGACAACATTGGCAGCAATGCCACGGTGGTATAATTGATAATCTGAGTAACTCCTTTGGGTTGGTTTCGCGTGTGGGTGAACTGGCCTTGCTTAAGATTCTCCATTGTTTTCTCCAGATCCTCTGCAGCATTGTCCAGAAAAGCTCTCAGTGCACTTTTGACACTCTCTAGGCCAGTCTTCATCACAGTTCTAGGAAGCAAAATTGCAGAACTTAAATTTTGAAAAAAGAGCAAGTAAGTTGCAAATAAATATACTTTTATATGGTTTAGTTATAAAAATATCCATTGACCAAACTATATTTTAATTCCACTATCAATATTTTTAATATATAGCACAGCAGGTAGGACATTTGCCTTGCAAGTGGCTGACCCGGGTTTGATTCCTCGGTTCCTCTTGGAGAGACTGGCAAGCTACTGACGGTATTCTGCCACATGGCAGAGCCTGGCAAGCTCCTCATGGCATACTCAAAATGCCAAGAACAGTAACAACAAGTCTCACATTGGAGACGTTGCTGGTGCCCGCTCGGGCAAATAGATGAACAATGGGAGGACAGTGTTACAGTTCTACTTGAAGTTACTCTTGTAATGTCCTATAAAAGCCTGACCTTTCCTAAACGGCTTCACAGTGCAATAAATTAGTACGTAGGAGCAAAAGACAATGCTAATGCTTTATGTTTCTACTAAAGATCTGAAAGTTATTTAGAACTAACAGAACAACTGTGATTCAGATTAACACAATTTAAACATAACTAGAATGTTTCCTGGGATGATGTGTTTGGAAGAACTATGAAATGTCAGATCATGCAGACCTCCAAATGATATAGATGTTTTATAATCCCAGGGTAGTAATTAAATATTTTTTCCAAATAAGCCTCTGAAAGTTGAAATTAGGACAGAGATGACACTTCAAAATCATGATTTCTAGAAAATCAAATCATATAATGGAATTTCCATTTTTTCATTTACTATTTAAAGTAAATGAAATAAAAATTCAAATGCAGTGCTAGGGAAATGGTCAAAAGAGCAACTGCTTTGCATGAACAGGATTCATGCCCCCTCAATCTTGGCTAGAAGCAACCTCCAATTACTGAACAGACTGGCACACCCAAGCACCACCGTATGGCAAGAAAATTTAAAAAAAATAGATCACTGAAGAGCATCATGAAATATTTTCTTTAGAAGATCAAAATTTTAATTTATCCTGGATAATAACTGATTCAAATATATAGCTTAAAAACTGAATAAATAATGTCAATTCTGTTTACTTAATCAATATATAACATTTTTGGTCATGTTGCTTGTAAGATATAGCACAAACTATGTGGAATTATTTAAGATGAGAATAAAGTATAAGCACTTCTAAAATATAAACATATCTAGATATAATTATGCCATCACTGGTTTAGAAAAAAAAAAAGAATTTACCTTGCATCTAAAGTCTGACCCAAAATGTGAAGACAGTTGACGATTGATGTTGCATCATTTCCTAAAGAGGAAACAAAATTTTGCATACATTGTCCTGAGAAATTGACAGTGCAGTTTGCTATCTGATTCTGAAAGTTAGTTAATGACACAACTCAATGATAACAACTCAATTAACTTTTAATAGTCAAATCATGCAGTTTTCTGCTTAAAGTGGTTATGCAAATGTAAGTAGAAAAGCAATAAAGCATTTCTCATCAAATAGCTGACATACTCAAGAAGCAATCAAAGCACTGCACAAGGATAATATGTTCTAACTAAATTCTTCAAATAAATTCTCAACCCATAATATCTAACTTATTTTTAAATCTTATTGTTTGCTAACTCTTTAAGTCAGCTCACATCCTTTTATGAAGAATGTGGGTTAAAAATCCAATTAAACTTGATTTTAATTATGCCAAGTGTATCTGCTTTCCCATTGCAGTTAACTATATCAAGAGTTATTAATTTGCCTGCGTCCAACAGCATTGAGATGAACTGACTTGCCTGAGTGTTATAAGTCTTACAACTTTTTTTGGGCCACAACAAGCTATGTTCAGTGCTTGCTCTAGCTCTGTGGTTAGATATCACTCCTGAAAGTGCTAAGAGTCCCATATAGGTGCCAGAGATCAAGGTCAGGTTACCTGCATGTAAGGCAAGCAAGCCACCACTATACTATATCTCAGGCCCCTCTTACATATATTTGGTTAAAAATGAGGAAATGAAGCCCAAAGTTAAATGTTACTTTTGTAAGATTTGTAAAGCCCAAGTTAAATGTTACTTTTGTAAGATACAGTGGCAGTTGACTGTTCTGGAAAGCAAGATGAATTTCAACTAATTTGAAGTATTTATTAGAAAATACAGAAAGATAATTTATACAATTAGGAATGTATTTTACTTTATGATACAAGAAAACAAACAAAATAAGTTCCAAAAGTTCAAAATTAAAAATAATTTAAAGTTCAAAACAAGTAATTCATTCTACACCTTCATAGAGATGCATTTATATATTTATAGTCATTTCTTAGATCCTGAGATCAATAGATCATAAGAATAAAAGATTTTACATATTCACATGTATTTTATTCCTTATAGAAATTGTATAATAAGATATTAATTGCTGGGATTAATTCAAGAACATTTTGTGGTTTCACTCTCAGAATTCTGGTAGTAAGAGAAAAAATTAAACTAAATTTGCTGATTCTATATACTGTCTGGTGGTAGTCATAGAACCTCAAGGTCCCAGCACATTATTCTTTTAATCATTTATTGACTTAATAAATTCATGCTAAATGCTAGGCATTCTCAAATTTTCAGACATGAGAAAATGATAGTTCTCAAGGTACTTTTTAGTGGAAATGTAGATATACATAATGCATGATAAAAAAAAACAAAAAATAAATCTGCATTTTATATGTGATCAGGTTATAATAAACATTCTATACTATAGAATAGATGTTCTCTATATTAGGGAATAGATATAGTAGATTATAAATTTTCTATAGTATAGGCAGAATTAAAAAAAACACCTGAATAGAGTTATTAGGGTGCTTGATTAGGTGGATGTCTTCAAGGAGACATTTGGTTAATATCTGAACAAAATCAAGAAACAAACTATGAATATTTTAGAGCGCCCAAGGCAGAGGGAATAGCACATTTAAAATCTTTGACCCAGAAAATTAACCTGGAATTCCAGGCAAGAAAATAAGGTGTTAATGTGATCAGTCTTGGGGAAAAGGAGACAATGAAAAGGAGAAGAGAGAGACCAGTTTGTAGAATCTTGCAATAAGGAAAAGCAGTTTGAGTATTTTTAAAAATGCAATATGAAGGCATTGTTAGGTTTTGAGCAAGTTGTCTGATTTATACTTTTAAATGATCAATTCACAATATGTAAATTCTGGATGGACAACACTGAAATTGTTGAGAGAGAGGGAGAGAGAGGGAGAGAGAGAGAGAGAGAGAGAGAGAGAGAGAGAGAGAGAGAGAGAGAGAGATTTGAGTGGAAAAGGAACCCTAAGGTACCTGCCTTAGTTTCAAATTAGGTTGTTCATGGCAAATCTGAATAATTGTATTCATATTGAAAAATTATGAAGACATTTTAAGAATTTGCTTATGGTTTGAATGTGAGTTGAGAAGAAAAAGAGTCAAGGATAATCCCATGATTTTGGGGATGAGCAACAGTATGAGTGATTTAGGAAATAAGCTGATGATGTTAAAGAGAGCACAATAGAGAAACAGAATGTGAGAAGCAGAGGGCTGGGGATGGTGGTCAAGTCCTCTACATTCAAGAGGCTGAGGTTGATGAGCCAATTAAGTTCAAGTAGAAATATAGCCACACCGATTGTAGCAAAAATCTGATTACTTTTGCATTAAATTTTATAATTTTTGCATATCAGTTTTTTTAAATCACGAGTCTAAATGAAACTCTCTACAGTAAGTATAATTCAGGAGTTAAAGAGATCCCAAGGCTTTCAATCTTTAGATGTATAAAAGGATAATAAGGATAGAGTAGTGAAATGAGAGAGGCAGCTCTTAAGGGAAAGGCAACATGAGCAAATGTGTATGTTTCATTCAGTTACTTTTAGTTCCTTTCCCCCAATTTACTGTCTCTTGGCATAGATTATCAATCATTGTTTTTCCTTTGCATAGAGTCTGCGTATGCCTTTTACCAGGGGCATTTTAAACAAGAATAAAACTCATGAAGCATGATTTGTTTGGTTTCTTCTATGATGGGGCCCTGATCTAGAATTGTGCCTAATATACAGCAGATGATTGGTAAATTGTGAAACGAATGAAGTACATAACTGAAAAGAGACTAAAGAAACATCAGTGGATGGACCAGTTCCTTGGCTCAACTAAATATTGTTTCTGTGATTTTCAAAACTACAAACTGAAAGTTCCATCTATTGATTACATTTATAGGGTCAGATTCAATACAAGTTCAAGAAGAAGCAGTATGAGGAGAGAGAGAGAGAGAGAGAGAGAGAGAGAGAGAGAGAGAGAGAGAGAGAGAGAGATGAGTGGGAATTCAACCCTAAACACTTCTAAAAAATTGTTAACTGTAACCTCCACATTTTAATATGCATAACAAAAATTTGATATAATTAGCATGTGTCTAAACTAATTAGCATTAGTCTAAACTAATGACTAATTTTGAAGAAACAGTACATGTACTGAGATTTTAAAAGAACATAAAAACAACATGTAGAATGTAAAATAAGAGCAATAAATAATACAAGAATAAATAAAAGAACAAGGTGTTTCAAATAACTATAATAAAAATTGATTATGGTCTTGATTCCTCCGCCCCTCTCGGAGAGCCCGGCAAGCTACCGAGAGTATTCGATATGCCAGACACAGTAACAACAAAGTCTCCAATGGAGACGTTACTAGGCCCGCTCGAGCAAATCGATGATCAACGGGAGGGCCTTTACCTTTACCTACCTTACCAAGAACAGGAAGGTCTAGTCGTATGTGTGATGTGATGAGATGTCAAATTTTGAGATGAAGCCTGTATTTTAAATGCTTAACTATATAAAATTTCTAAGCTACTCCGAATAGCTAAAACCCAAAAGTTTAAAAATAGTGTATATTCTTTAAAAATCCAAGAATTCCCCATATCATCAAATGTATTTTTCATTACCTCTCAAGATTCAGGAAAATATTTATGGATTGTTTATTAACCTTTAAGATTGTATGTTTCGATGAGAGTGAGTGTCTAGCATAAAAGTTCATAAATGAAACAATAGCTTTTATCTAAATCTAATAAGAACTGCAAGAATTGCTTTTTTTGAACAACTACAATAATGTTCATAAAATTATACAACTTTGTAGTAGCAAAAACAAAAAATCTAAAGATAATAAAACATTCCTTTGTATCTTCAAATTGCTTGTCATTTTTGAGTATGAGGTTCCTATAACTCAGAAAATTTTAATACTGCTCGAAATTTGTAGAGTTCATAATGAATATTCTCAGGATGTTGACTTTTGAACGGCCATTCAAACTTTATTTTTCTCTACTGTTTAAATCAGGTTCTTGACATGTCTATTATTCCTTTCTTTGAAGAAAGAATTCATCATCATCAGTATTTGTGTAATAAAATTATGTTTAGTATATACACATTTATCTTCAAATTATGAGGGGATAGAGAGAAACTTAAAAATGACAATTACTTTATTACTTCGGAATTCTGAAATATTGAAAAATAAAATGGATTCCCAAAAGTAGTGAGATGTTTCTGTTAAACTTAGGCATACTTAAGAAATTATATCTCATTTGTTTCAAGGTCAGAAATTTTCTGATAGTGACATGTTCAAATATGTTCTATTATCCTAGCACAGTCTTCTGAGCTTTTTTCATTACAAGTGTCTTATTCTATTATTTCTGGCCTGAGCTTTCTCTACTAACAAAATAGGCTATTTTTTTCACATAGCAAGTATATAAATGTATATATATACACACACCTATTTATATACACATGTATATTCAATGAAAATTCCTTATTGTTATTCTTTTTTTTACTGGTTCCTGCTTATACATTCACAAAAATGCTTCAACAGCATTATCTACATTAAAACCAAACTATAGGAATTTTAAGTTACTAGACCTTGATCCTGCAGTGCTGAGCAGCAATAATCATCAAAAGGCATAGACTGTATGTGACTGGAACATTAAATTTGCAGTCTAGCAGACTCAGTTCCTAGATACAGTCTATCTTCAGAGCGTCTCAGTACTTTGAATCATTTCACTTTCATTATGTTTTCCAGATTAAACAAATACAAGCATTTTGAAGTTTTAGAATGATTAAACTCATATATTAATTCTTTAATATGTCCTAATAGAAGAGAAACATCGTCATTTAAATACTTGAATGGATTTGTGGGAGATGACAAAACAACAAATTAGTTTTAATTAATTTAAAATTTTAGTTTTAGTTAATCCACAAATTATTTTAGTGGAAATAGTTGTAACTGATGGAATCACTATCTTATTTACTATGGAAACTGTGTGCCTTAGAGAGAGTA